CCCCATAAAATATCCAGACCCCATAAGCCCCACAAATCCCGCAGACACTACAAGCACCACAATAGTAGAATGCAACGTAAAAAATACAAAGAACGTATCGAAATATTCAGAATATTTTTGGCGGGTAGTGACGTCTAAAAATCTTCGCACAGACCCCACCAACCCCGCAAACTGCAGACTTCAGAAACTCCGCAGACCCCACAAAACCCCTCGGACCGCAGACCCCAGAAACCCTCAGACCCCGCAGACCCCACGAACCCGGCAGACACTACAAACTACAAACACCACACAACTCTGCTATTCCGCAGATCCCACAAACCCTCAGCACCCCACAGACACCACAAACCCCACAAACACAATACACAAAACTCCTCAGACCGCAGACCCCAGAAACTCCGCAGACCCCACAAAACCCCTCAGACCCCGCAGACTCCTGCAGACCCCACAGAACATAAAGACCCCACACTGCAAACACCACAAAACCCTGCTATTCCGCAGATCCGACAAACCCTCAGCACCCCACAGACACCACAAACCCCACAAACACAATACACAAAACTCCTCAGACCGCAGACCCCAGAAACTCCGCAGACCCCACAAAACCCCTCAGACCCCGCAGACTCCTGCAGACCCCACAGAACATAAAGACCCCACACTGCAAACACCACAAAACCCTGCTATTCCGCAGATCCGACAAACCCTCAGCACCCCACAGACACCACAAACCCCACAAACACAATACACAAAACTCCTCAGACCGCAGACCCCAGAAACTCCGCAGACCCCACAAAACCCCTCAGACCCCGCAGACTCCTGCAGACCCCACAGAACATAAAGACCCCACACTGCAAACACCACAAAACCCTGCTATTCCGCAGATCCGACAAACCCTCAGCACCCCACAGACCCCACAAACGCAATAGCAGAACGCAGCGTAATGGGCACAAACATCGCATCATAGTGGCCATGCAATCCAAGCCGGGAGTGGGGCAGGGGGGGCTGCCAAAATGTTCTTCGAAACGTTTTGGGAAGGCGGGCATTTAGAGCCTCTAGCTTTTCGAAGGGGCTCTAAATGTTCGCAACATTTAGAGCCCCTAGACGGCCCGGAAAAGGACGACAGGATTAACGGCCGAAAGGCTAGGCCGGGCACAGCCGCCAGGACCGCAAGAGACGCCGGCGTTTTATTGAAGTATATTCTCATCTAAGATCAAGAAAATGACTAGGTCTTAATATTCAACCTATGTTTATGTTAATTCTTGAATAATGGATTTTCTTGTTTGTATATTCGATCGATGAATCAAAAATCTATGTCATAAGATTAAGAAATTCATCGGCACATGTTGCTAACCTTTTGGATTAACACATCCTTTTGCATCGAAACCAGAGATTCAAGCGAGTCGATGGGACGCCCTCCAATCTCTTCATTGCATTTCAACGGAGATGTGCGAATCTGTGCCGATTTTGTCTGGATCTACGTGGGTCGTGTATTTCGTCAACCCATAGCTCCAACATATGCCAGGAAGCATGAGCATTGATGCCACGAAATATACCATGCCATGAAACTGGCCTTCGCCTTTGAATTTTGGAATCAGCACCTGGGATTCACACCAGAATCGTCAGCTTCTAGTGAGCCACGACTTCGCAGGGAGAGAAATCTTTGCAGCAAAGAAGCTTCTGAAGCAAGCAGAGGGGCAAAGATCTTCGCAAGTGTTTCTAAGATAGACATTGCCCCCTGAAGCGTACCCTGCTGTTGAGGAGGCAGCTCTCGTGCAGCTAGCCCCACCGCAATCGGGTAGCACATTGAGCCGACGGCGAAGAAAGTGATGACAGCATATGCCAAAGTCCAAGTGCTCGGTGTCAGCAAAGAGAATAGCAAGTAAAACATGCTGAGGGACGTGAAACTAAACGTTAGGGTAGTGATTTCGCCAAATCTGCGGGTCAGAAAGGGTTGCACCACAGCTAGAACAAAGAGCGACTCCATTGCCCAAACCATACCCAGCAGTATGTAGAAGCGCTTGTCCATCTTCAAGAACATCTGGCAATAGAAATCCAGGGTGCTTACCATCATATTCAGCCCGAAAGAACTCAGGAAGACCAACAAGGAGTAGATCACCTCAGGGTACAGGCAGACAGGTTCCTGAATTGGATGAAATTGCTGAAGGAGGCAGTGCTCTCGACAGTCTGCAAAACATTCGTGAGCGTAGCACACCAAAGCTTTCCTGCTTGTTGTGGCTTCGTGCTCTGGGTAAGGCCGTACCGCGAGGGGCGAAGCCGCGACTTCTTGCCCTTCTGCCTGAACTTATGCAGAAAAACAAGCTATTGATGGCGAAAGTGAAGACAACGCAAGAACAGAAGCACGGGCACCAGAAGGAACGGCAACGCCATTGCCACAGCGAATGACCCGGACAAGTAACAAGTACTCTCACAGTGGTCGAAAATGAAACAGAAACACGCAGTGACTAATCAGGGAACAGCACGGCTTGAGGCACGCAACATCTTTGGGGATGAAGTTCTTGGCCAAACACACGGACCCGATATCAAGTTTCTGTAGCAGCAGTCCATGGAGCAGACAGCCCCCGACCAATGACGTGAGCACTCACGAATTGGAGGAGCACAGCTGCATCAACAGGTTCAAGCCGAACCCAGCACAGAAAACGAGAAGGCTCATAGACACAGCAGAAAACGGTCGGGTGCTGGCGTGCCGCTAGGAGGGAAGGTGCTCGGATAATATGCCAAAAGAACTCTTCGCAGATTCGTTGGGAAGGACCTCTACAAGCCTCCGCTGCTTGCAAGGATGTGCACGTTCAGCAGGGGTCAGGGCTAGGGACGTTGAGCGCAATGCGATGCCTTGACAAAGCTTGGGCAACCTGGACGCACCCTAATCAGAGGCTTGCCTGGCGACAGCTCTGCAGCACTTACATTCGCTTGTTTCAACAATAGGAAACCGACCACAATGTCGGTAAGCTTCCGAACCGATGAGGCCAACACCATCGCGCGAGATACGCCGAGCACCGCCAAGGCTGCCAACGGGTTTGCCTCGCTACAACGAAATTCCTTCCGTGGCGCGATATCTCTCCAGGCGGTCTTCACCTTACTTTTCAGGCATGAACATCTGCATGCGCACATAGAAGCACGACTACCTTCTGCAGCTGAAGAAGCTACGATGACTATGACCACGTTCAGGGCTGCAGCTGTGAAGTAGCAGGCCCGAAATGATATTGCCAATGACTGCACCAATGCAACAATAAGGCTGCCTGCAGGAGAAGTCGCATTCACAACCGAGCTTATGACATGCCTGTGTGCTTCCAGGCTTCTCAACATGCTTTTCAGCCATGTACAAGCCTGCGCACATACCCGCCACCATAGCACCTCCCAGGGCCGCTAGATTGTCGGGACATTCCTCGGCACTGGAGATGTCCGCCGTGTAGGACTGCAGCGTTACTTTGTAGTTGCCCAGCAGGCCAGCCATCCCACGAGAGCAAAAAAGCAAGCCCTGTGCAACTTCGGCAGGGATCTGTCTGACAATGCCCAGGGTGGGTAGACAAAGGCCAGCGATGCCGTAATCGATCACCTGCTTTGCAGTTTTACTTCCACTTTCGGCTAGATCAGATCGCCCATCTGCCGTGACATGCCCTGGCCGACACTTCCGTAAATGTCCACAGCTTGTGTAACTGAACAACATTTATAACATGCCATACATTGTCATACATAAGGTCTCTCCACCGTAACCCTGTGTTCTCGCCTCACCGACGATTACGAACGACCACAGCGAAACACTGAGAAAATCAATTTGCAGGAAGCTTGCACAACTCTCCGATCGGTCTGCACAACTGGGTGTTTCTGCCAACCACCACCACTCTCACGATTTGGACACTGCAGCCGAGGGGGTAACCGCCGGCAAGAGAGGATTAACAGACAAGCCCTGATCGCCAAGCTAGCCGATCTACAGACTGCAAAAAGGCATCAGGAGGGATCTGGAGATTCGTCTGTGTGACAGCGTAGCGGGAAACCTGAAGATGAATGCACCTGATACTATCAGTCAGCCTCGGGGCACTGCTATGGTTTTCGCAAAGCCAGTACACTTACATAGTTGGACAGCGCCGGCAAAGTTCGATCTTCTCGGGCTCTCCCCGTCATAAGGCCATGTGACCTACAGCAAGCCTGCTCCTGCGCATGGCATAGTAATGTGGTCTCCATGCTAAGACAACCCACGAAGCTGCCACACCCGTCACAGTTTGACATGCCTACGACACGGGTGGCATGTCTGTGCCGGCGGAACTGTTTACGACAGGAAACAAGCTGCCATGATGAAAATCTCGTTGCTGACTTTTCGGCTACTGTACTATCGTTTGCATCACCTTCCCTGGCTGTTCCTGACATCTATATGAGTTGCCAACGGCAGAATGTTCATGTCCTACGGTTTCTGCTAGCCTGACCAAGAAAGCAAGCATCGTCTGGCGGTTACAAGGCGTTAGGGCACCTGTCCAAGCTGAGCCAAGCATTGGATAGGTCTTCGACCGAACTTGTCACTCATCACCCCAACAAGCTGGCTGGTGATCAACTCGCAAACTGCATTGGCTGCGAGCAAGCGCCCGTAGTATCTTTGAGACTCACTGGACTCCCCCCCATCAGGGTTCTGCTTGAGGTTCTGCTCGCCGACTACTTCCTTGCATACCTCCAGCCACACATTCAGGGCAGCACCCATACCTCAGCTTCCAACAACCAATACATCAAGAGCTTTGCCGGGCTGGGTCAGGGCTTCCGGGCATGTCTGCTTCTACAAGTCGTACCCGGCTCAAGGGCCCACCGCCTTGCGTTGCCACTTTCTGAAAACAATAACGGTTCATAAACGTTCAACGCATACCAGTCCCGAAGTAAATAAGAATTCACATTTAACTGTTCCCAGCTTGCCAACATTGGCAACATGTCAACCCACCAACCCTGGGGACCGCGGGGAGCTCTCACAGCTTTGAATGGGACGGCCACACACTGTCCGCTGTTCAATTGATTTTAGCATCGGTAGCTTCATGTCGCTCGAACCTGTTGTCAGGGTGCAATACGGTTGATGATATAAATCCTGCATTGCCTTAAGGACCCTAAACAATGGGAATTGTGGCATATTCCTTATTGTGGGTAATGCAGGATTTATATAATCAACCGTAAGTCAAGGCAGCCGCTGATGACCCTGGGAGCTATTGCCACAAAACAAGGGAGGGCTACAGCCGGCCCAACTTGCTTGCTGCATTTTGCCGGTCATCTGTCTGCTATCCCTTGCCTCTATACGTACAAGCCTTCAGGATTCGTCCAAGATTGACGTGGACTCATTGTATCCGTCATAGGTGACTCCGGTTGCTTTAAGTGATTGCACTGGCTGTTTGCTAGAGGCTGGGAGATTAGATTAGCTGACATTTCCACGCAATTTCTTCATGCGTGAAGTCGACCCATCTAAGCAAAGTCGACTCACAGACGCAACGAAACTGCAAGTACAAGCCTGTCAAATCTGCACGGGGAACATGCGAAAACTGAAAGTGCACACTGCTTTAGTGGGAGCTGCCCAGGCATTGAAACGACTGGAAACTGCAAGTATACACTGGGTTTCAACGAGCACAGCCCGTCATAGACGGCTTTAGAGAAGGGACAGCAACGCACCTTTGAAGCATGACAGCGGGTTTTAGCTGGGTTTTGCATGTCTGTAGACAATCGTCGAGCATTACGTCGGACTTCCAATGTGCTTTCCGGTGCGAAATGACTCCAAACTAATTGCCAAGAGCCTTCATGCGGTATACCCATGTACACGCCTGCACGAGACGACTTTACGCAAGGCACCACAAGTTAATCTAAGTGTTTGTATATACATATACACACATATACATGTATGAGAGAGGCGCCTCTAGGGTTTAGTTTACGCTCTATTCTTTTCTGCATGACTACTATATAAAAAAAATTGAAATAATTGAAATCAGCAGAGTTGATTTCAATTATTTCCATTATTTAAATCCGCCAAAGGGCCCAAATAATTGAAATAATTGAAATAATTGAAATCGGCCCCATTTCAATTATTTCAATTATTTCAATTATTTTAAATAATTGAAATCCTGGGGTTCTGTGGATGGGGCCCACGGGTCACCCCCCCCCCCCTACTATCACCCACCCACCCTCCCCCCACCTCCCCGCCCCCTCCCCTGCCTCCCCCCTTGCCTCCCTGCCCTGCTCCCCCCCTGTTCCCGCGCCCTGCCCTAAACCCACAGCCCCCCGAATCCACCTCCACCCTACCAACACCCCTACCCCTGCCCTCACTCCACCCTCCCCGCCTCCATACCTCACTACCCACCCCCTATCTCGGCCCCTTGCCCCGTACCCCCTCACCCCACCACCCACCACCACCTATTACCCACACCCCCCCACCAACCACCACCCACCATCCACCACACACCACCCACCACCCACCACCCACCACTACCCAGCACCCGCCAGCCACCACTACCCACCACATACCCCTCCCCATCATCGTTATCACCATCTTATTATCATTTATCATTGGTTTATCACCTTTATCACCTTTTTATCACCTTTATCACCTTTTTATCACCTTTCTCACCTTTCATCACCTTTTATCACCTTTTTATCACCTTTTATCACCTTTTTATCACCTTTTTTTAACCTTTATCACCTTCTTATCACCTTTATCACTATTGTTATCACCTTTTTATCACCTTTATCATCTATTTTTATCGTTCTTTTAATATCTTTCTTATCCCCAACCCCACCCCCACCATTTAGCTATGTCTCTGACATGACGAGGCTCGCTGGATCTACATGATGTATAACTTCAAAGACGAGGCCGATCGGACATGTTTATGCACTTCGGGTTAATGTGAGACATGCTGTCGTTGATAGTGGACATGAGTTCGGCAGTCGCATCATTGGTAGCGGACACAAGTGGTAAGATTATATGACTAGCAGGGAACGCAGATGTTCGTGAAGCCGTCTAATCATTCAAGCTTCTTCCCTGCCCATCTCCCCATTGACTTTGTCTGCACGATGGCCAAGACAAAGGATCTGGCGGCCGTGAAGAGATCCTTGCGTGTCGCACGTGCCGGATTCAACAAGGCAGCAGGGGATTTGGAAGCCATCATCAAACGACGTGTCCCCAAATGCAAGAAGCACTTGAGAGCGGTCCGGCAGATGGAGGAGAGGGTAAAGGAGTTGGGGGGGGAGTTGTCCGACGAGGTCTCTTCCAGGAGCTCGCTCCTCGGAAGCGACTCCTCGGACCACTCCAGCGACCCCAGCGACTCCAGCGAAAGCGAGGCACAGGCTCCGATGGAGAAGGCAAAGGCCAAGCCTGTTGCGGCAAAGAAGGGGAAGAGTGAGAAAGGTGACGGTAAGGTGGTACCGGGGCCCGCTTCGAAGAAGCCGCCCCGCCGGAGCAAGAAAGATTTCCCGGTCATACCGCCGGGGGAGGATGCTCCGCACCACCGAGGGAAACCAAACGCCGAAGGCGTGCGGTATCCCGGTTTTCACAAAGGGCACCCGCAGTACTGTAAAGCTTGCGAAGTCCTGAGGCGAGGGTTCATCCGAACAGGAAAATCCCATATCGATGGATGCCTCTGGCGATCGCGCGGGTGAACCTACGCACCCTGGTAAAAAACAACTCTGGAAGTTCTGTCTCGAAGTTAAACCACCTTATGCTGAGAGCTTGTATACAACACGGCGCCAGGTTATGTCCGGATCAGCATATGGACGGCGAGTGTGCAACCCGTATGCATTCAGAGTGGACGTCAGATGGTTGATGTATCCCGACAAGAGAGTTTGACTTCCGATGTGGAAACACCACTTGTAATTGCATGATGTAAATGCGTAGAAGCCTACTAACGAGGTTAGTGATTTACCTTATTAACACAGAATCTTCTTGGACATTCGTGCGCAAGGGATACTAAGGGCGTAACAGCCCAATTCAAGCAATTTTATGGGGTCGTCGATGGGAACCCGTCAGATCATGGGGAGTGGTTGCGAAACGAGTGCGTGTTCCGAAAGCCTCTGGGCGAGGTCCAGTGCGGCACAACAGAGAAACGAGGGTCCGAGGAAGCAGGGTTTGCGGCACTGGCTGTCGTGGCTTAAATCTCAAACGAAGGTCCTAGGAAGCAAGGTCGGCGGCACTAGCCGAAAAGGGCATTCATGTCTATGTTGTTGATCGCCAGACGTGCTCATGCTATCTTGCAGGTGGTCATTGGTAGCGGAGCAAATATATATCGCAGCTTACTGTAGGTGTCGTGGCTTAAATCTCAAACGAAGGTCCTAGGAAGCAAGGTCGGCGGCACTAGCCGAAAAGGGCATTCATGTCTATGTTGTTGATCGCCAGACGTGCTCATGCTATCTTGCAGGTGGTCATTGGTAGCGGAGCAAATATATATCGCAGCTTACTGTAGGTGTCGTGGCTTAAATCTCAAACGAAGGTCCTAGGAAGCAAGGTCGGCGGCACTAGCCGAAAAGGGCATTAATGTGTATGTTGTTGATCGCAAGAAATGCTCATGCTATCTTGCATGTGGTCATTGGTAGCGGAGCGAATACATATCGCAGCTTACTGTAGGTTACACAAACCTAGCCCAAATCGTCATTGATTTCCTGTGACGAGGACATTGACGTGTATGCTGTTGATCCCAGTCGTGCTCATGCGATCTTGCATGTATTCATTGGTAGCAGAGCGAACACATGGCTGTTGATCTAAATTGCTTCGTCCCGGAATGACCTTCTTCACGGATAAAAAAATAACTTTCGCGCCACCGTCGCGCGTAGGTCAACACATAACTTTCGCAAAAATTAAAGTAACTTTCGCCGCACCATCGCGGAACTTTCGCGAAGGCATATTTAGCTATGCAGTTGGCCGTTCATATAAATTATACCACAAGGAGCTTTAGATCAACTACCACATAGCCAAACTTGGAGTGTTCCCGTAGTATTCGATATTCCGGCCGTTGGGGGAGACATATGTATGACTGAATGCAATAATTGCCTGACATTCTTATATAGATCGGGACGGGATATGTGAGAGTGAATAGAATCGAGAATCTTCGATAGTCACAGTATCGCATGCTCGTTACATGAGATCATGCACCACATCCTCCATCTCATTCTATTTATGTCTATTGCTTCGCTGATATGTCTTCCCCCATGCATTCCGCCAGGTACGGATATCTCCATCCGATGTGGGAACAGCCACTCTCTCGGAATGTGGGGGACCTCCAAAGGTTTGCATGCAATGAACATCGGCATATATTCCTGACGAGGAGCTCATGCTGCGATTGACGTGCAATGTCCATGTTTGATCATGCACACAGCATCTGGCTTGAGCTTGTCAGCAGTAACGCTGTGACCGCTTGTCCCTCTTTCATTGCTGTCGCAATGTCGCTTCTTTTTGATCCCATAGGCCGGAAGGATTTCTGCATGCCGATCTGACGCACATGTTGGTATATGATCGGGAAGCATATCGTTGGTGGTCTTGACAGGCGAGGCCGACGTAAGACCAACTATGTTGGCCATCGGCCGAGCTATGGACCTCAGAGTTGTTCATACCGTGCACCTTGGATGCATTCCTTTCAGACGAGTTCCCCCAAGCATGTTTACTCGTGAGAGTGTCATTATATCTCCTGACTTTGCTGTATAAAGAACTGAGGAGTCTTGATACGAAGCTGCAGAATGTGAAATCCAGCGAAGGTACCTGACCATTGCTTCGGGATAAAATCGCATTAATCGGTGTCATACAATGACGAACTCGCTGAGTCTCGATCTGTATAGGCCCGCCTTCTATCGCAGTTGGCCCTACGACATTGACATCCAACGATGCTATCGGTGATTTGGCCTATGCTGTATTATGTAGACGTTGACTAGCAAGCCGATGCACAGTACAGTCCCGTGACTTTATTGGTGTGTCTAAACACGAAGCATACATCCGTTGCGGACGGCTGACTCCACGACATCGTGGCAACGCCTGTGCCCGGCCCTTCATCTTATCAACAGTGCACTTCGCCGAAAGGATTACAAGTCCCGTGGCTTGGTTCTCCAGCCCGCGGCTGGTGGGCGGCGCAAAAAAAGGCCGATTGTATACGAGCCTGCAACGGAGCCCATCCGTTTCCGACTGGGGATAGGCCCTTCTCTGGACCCTACAGGCCTGTCGTACTACAAAAGGCCAGAGAACTTACGGACTAATCGGACGAAGAATCGTTGTCGAGGTTACAGCAAGACACTTGTATGCAATATTTTGAAGGATGCGTGCTATCCAGATCCGGTGTGTGGTCATTCGCAAGAAATCTGCTTAGGAAAAGAGCCGCTCGGTACAACGACATCCAGCCGGGCGAGAACAGCAGCGGACAAGACCAGCAGGGATCCAAGTGATGTCATGGTAGACTAGCATTCCTGGCATTCTTTCATATTACGTCGCAGGTCATCCATGGATGGAGAAGATGTTGTTGTTCCAATGCAGCCCCTTATTTGCATATGACGTGGCGTGTGTATGCCATATAAGCTCCACCACATACGACAACTGATCCTGCTCGAGGTCGCACCATGCGCAAGAGGAGATGACAGGACAAACGCTCGCATCCTGCATTCCCGGAGTGCACGTGCTATGTGCATCGCACATAGGTTCAATCGCTAACATCTGGTCCCTTCAATGTTAAGGTTGCACGTCAAGTTTGATCCGGGTGAGTCCGTTAGCTTGTCCGCCACGATCCTCGGGGATGAGTGGTGGGACAGTCTAGCGACGCAATCCGTGGAAGAGCACCTTAGCAGCAGTCCTGATGAATGGTCTTGTACTCGAAGCACAGCGTCCATGACTGACAGGCCCACCAACTGGAGCTGGAGGATACTGGTCTGCGAATAACAAACATCACAGCAGTTCTGAAACTCTAAGACCTGGTGTACATGTGAGGGATTCGGTATCCTACACGGCATGGAATGAGCATCAATGTCTATAAACCATTCCCGAGGAAATGCATCGCGAGTATATCAAGACCGAGCTAACAGATTACGTGGTCAGCCCAAAGTGTGACCAGGTCGCAGCTAGGTTCACACCATGTTAGCTGCTGCCGTGTATGTATCTGGAATGTGCAGATTCCAAGGGAAGAGCTTCTTGCATATCGGTCGCAAGTCCTGCGACACTCCGTCATGGTGTGACCTGGCTATTCAGGTAATCATGACCTGTAGTGCACATGAGTACGTGACGTCGTGATCCTAATGAGTATAAGGCGACAACATCATCTTGCACAACTGCAAGTTCCGCAATACCGGGCACATCACACTTCCTGAGCCGACAATGCAGAGGACACCAGCTTCCTTCTGCAGTATATAATGTATACCTCTTTAACTCCCGCAGAGGACAAAGGGCCCTTCGCGTGTGAAGCAAGTGATCCGGCAGAACGCATCGAGGTGGGAACTCGTTGTAGAGGAGACTACAGAACGAGAGGTCCTGCGTGCGATTGTACATGAGGCAAGTCTTTGTCATGGACTCCTTTATCCAGAACTTGTCGGGGTCCTCTCCGCGACCGAACACAAAGACTGCCACGTCGAAGCCGGTCACGGATGGATTCTCATCTATTCATTTCGATGGGATGATGCGTGACGTTTGCCTTGTGGATGCCTTTAGATCTATGGGACTCAAAGTTGGGTATCAGAGTCATGGTCCCTTCTACGCTATTGCCGATGGTCGTCGAATGTTATCAGGTATAGAGCTAGTTGACTGCATAACATCAGCATCGTGCACTCACAAGACGACGGATCCGTCACTGTAGTGTAGTATTTGCAGGTATACCATCGACGTGGTGGAGAACCAACAAGTATATGAACCTGGTCGTTACGTCCTATTCGCAGCCGGACATTTCACGGCCATGCGGGTGCTGAGCTCTCATTGCTCTCTCATCAGCTTGGGTCACCGCTGCCATGACCATATCGAAATTGATCCTTCACAGTGCGACTTCACGCAGTTTGAAGGTGTGATGAAAGTAGTTCCTGGAACATCCACACGGACTTGTGGAAGAGACTTCCTTGGCGGTGCAGTGTCCTAGCAGCAGACCTAGTAATGATCAATTCTATTTCCTTCCATTGCTCTACGTCCATACATTACCAACTACTGTGTACGTGATTATTATAAGTTCTGCATAGAACATTCGTATCTGAGGTATCATATCGCACCGACGTCGCCGATGACGTGAATGGAGGCCCACCGAGCTGTCTCAAAAGCTCACCGACATGATTATGCAAGCATATAGTTAAGTCTTGATTTGTAACATCAGAGTTCAGAGTGCACAGTCCGTTTCCTTAAACGCCAAGAAGGCTAGAGCGCGTGCAGTAGCGGTAAACACTACAGAGCGGCAGCAGCGACGGCTTCTCTTTGTCCGGCGGCGTAAAGCGGTCCGGGCTCAGGTGGCCCTGGTCGTGAAGCAGAACTCGGACCAGGACCAGAGCCGGACGCAGTATCGATCCGCATTCTCTCTGGCTGGAAAACCATCCCCAAATCCAGGGGAGCCAGAGGAGAATGGGAGGCGGAAAGAAGGGGACGGTGGCGGGTACAGAAAAACTGCGGAAACGGATCCCCGCTCGAACCAGGTGGCTTCGGCGGGGGGTCCGTTGCGTGCACTACCAAACACATCCGTTCAAGCACGGTACCGTTCAGAGTGCACAGTCCGTTTCCTTAAACGCCAAAAAGGCTAGAGCGCGTGCAGTAGCGGTAAACACTACAGAGCGGCAGCAGCGACGGCTTCTTTTTGTCCGGTGGCGCAAAGCGGTCCGGGCTCAGGTGGCCCTGGTCGTGAAGCAGAACTCGGACCAGGACCAGAGCCGGACGCAGTATCGATCCGCATTCTCTCTGGCTGGAAAACCAATGGAAACCTCGAGCCGGAAGCTTGACCACAGCCGTGGGACCAGCCAAAATGAGAATCAAGCAGAGCAAGAGCCACCCGGACACAGGAAACCAGAAAGTGAGTGAGTGAGTGAGTGAGCGAGCGACTAGCTGCACGAGGTGGTGCGCGCAGCAGCCATGCCTAAGGCGCCGTTCCCTCCCGGCTTCTCAGGGGGCTCCGCAAGCGTCATTGCCCCCTCCACTTGGAGTTCCCGCTGGCGAACGCCCCAACCCCAGAAACAACGTTATGAGGTCAGCAAAGACGGCCCAGTTTGGCAAGAGGGCATGCCAACAATCGCACGAAGTAGCAACTAGGCAGGCCCGCCACCGGCAAGCCGGCATAAGGGCAAGACAGCGTGCCATCCTCGCGGATACCCGTGCGATCAGGCTCTTCTCCCTTGAAGGTCCCCCTCCGAGGTACTATGCCACGCAAACAACGTCCCTCTGCGTCGGGCTGAGCGCAGCCGCGAGCCAAATGGCAAGCACGCTTCTCTACAGACCCCTCTGCAGATACTAAGTGCGTATCGCGGCCCGTGTGCTCCCGGAACCCACTCACTCCCCACCGCTTTCCTGTAACAAAGGTGAAATGGCAAGAGCTTCGCCACCCACCTGCAATCAGGTCCCGTACCAGTGTACCCTCTGAGTGGTGGGTGAAGGCCAAAACTCCGGCCAGCACCCCTCCGGAAGAGGGAAAGGAAACCAGAAAAATCCGCCGCAGACGGGAATAGGGACAGATCCGGAGAAGACGGAAAAAGGTCCCAAGAGATGTGATGTTCCTGGGACATCTCGAACCCCAGAGACGCAGGGTCGGAAGAGCGACTTAAAGCGTCTGCAACGTCATTGGACAGTCCCGGAACGTGATCAATGTAAACGGAAATGCGACGCGCTTGCTGGCAGAGCAGGAAAGATCGGAGCACCGAGCAGAGGCCCTTGGCCATAGACAGACCCTTCCAGCTCGCTGCATCGGCAGCAGAGTTGTCACATTTGAAGATGCAGTGCACCGGCAGGTGCCCTGGTCCCAGCAGGACATCCAATAAGACAACCAGAGCGCACTGCGCCAACAGTTCCCAACTGGCGATAAAGGCCTGAGCAGAAGCGGTCTCGGGGAACCAGGGAAAGAGTCTATGAAGCTCTTGACGGTCAAAGAGTCAAAGGACTGACGGAAGAAAAGTTGGCGCCCGTCCGGTAGACGAGCGAAGCCGCCGAGCCCCGCGGAGAGCTCGGCGGCGCAGGCGTGAGCAAAGGCTTCACAGACGTAGAGAGGCGGGCGCAGCAAGGAGCGAACGGCCGTGCCAGACTGGCAGAGATCCAACCAGAGTCTCAGCACCTCCTGAGAAGAGTCAGAGAGAACACACATCCCGGTGTGCAGAGACGAAGATTGAAGCCAGATGCGACGGGCATCAGGGGCTAACAGTGGAAGGTCACCGCGGCAGGAAACCGCAGTTTGATTGACACGTAAGATCTTGGAACCAGGCGGAAGGGCAGCTACGCCAATTGGACGCAGCAGGATGAGGTCCGGAGAGAGAGCCTGCAAAATTTCGGGCCAGCGCTCAGGTTGAAGCGCTGTCATGGTGGGCAGCAAAGCATGCTGGTCCGAGTAAAGCGGAGCCAGAGAAGGGCGAAACGTACGGAAAAGGGAAGAAAGCCAGAGAAGCTTACCCGTGACACGCTCCAACAAATGACAGGAGCAGGGTTTGGACAGAAGGGCCTGTCGGAGCAGAGCACAGAGCCGTGTGAACTTGCCGGGGTCCAATTTGACGCAAAAATGTGACAAGTTAAACTCCCAGCCAATCCAAACAACAGACGGGCCCAAAGCAGCTTTGTGCCATGACATGGGCACACGCAGAACCAGAAGAAGGACGACAATCAAGGAAGCCCAAAGCGGAGCAGAAATGGCATCTAAGAGTGCCAAGATGTCGTCAACGTAAATCTGAGCCGAGTGTCGGACGCGGACAATGCGATGTACCAGGCGAAGTAGCAAACCGGCGGCGCGGGCCCAGTAAAACGATGACACGCGGGCCCCAAAGTTCAGTGTAAGACACTGATACAGCTTGCCACGGTGACGGAAGCAGAGAAGACCGCGGTCAAGCGCACGAATCAGAATCCGGCGATGCGCTTTAGCAACATCCAGCATTAAAGCGACGAGCCGTTCCGTGGAGTCGGAGAGAGGCATACAGAAGAAGACGTCCGACAGAGTGGGGTTAGCAGAACGGTTGGGCAGAGCAGTGTTGCTCGTGACGCCAGACACGGAGCTGTCGACCACCAGACGCGGAGGACGTCCCTCAGCCAGTACGACTCCTAGTTTGCCGACCGCCGTACGGGTGTAGCGGCGGCGCAGCTCGGCATCTCCTCCCGGAACCAGAGCGATCCAACCTTCGGCCAGCTCAGCTTCGAGCAACTCATCCACCACATCTGCATGATCAATGGCAGATTTCCAGGCGGACTCACAATGCTGAAGCGGGATGACCGTGGCGTCAGGGGAAGGAGGGGGATGCATAACCGGACACGGGGGAATGGGCTCTGGCACGCCTAAGGGGACGCCAGAGCGGAGAAGGTCAAAGTACCCCGAGTCCGGGTCTGCACAAACCAGCGAGAGGCAGTGCCAGAGATTGAGCCGAAACGGCTGACCCTCTTGGACCAGAAGCAGGCGGTTCCAGGTAGTGTCGTCTTCCACATGAAGAAAGGAACGGAGGTCATCCAGAAAAGGAGCGACGTCAGCCTCAGACAACGGAGGAGACTTAGACCCGGAGTTGAGGGAAGCAGCAATGCGTTGGGCAAGACCAGACGCAAGCAGTGGTTTGGTCCAAGCTGCCCTCAGCGAGGACAGCGGGTCGGGGAGGCAGTACTGCATGTACCAGCACCGTCCTCAACTCTGCCGCAAGAGGATAGGGCTGCTGCGGCAGGGCATCCGAAAGAAAAGGAGCCGCCAGGCGTGCCAGGGCTGCAGCCAAGGACGGAGGGTAGCATGCAGAAAGGCGAGTGGCAAAGGAGCCATCCGCCAAGCGCTTTCCGGACACCTTGGCGCGAAAGCCTAGGGGGTGAGGGCAGACACATGCAAGGGCCGCAACCTCAGGGGAGTTAGAGCAAAAGGACCAAGCCTTGTGTTGGTCCAGGCCGTGATGGCAGCCAGCAACAGTGGCAACGTGGCGGCAGAACAGCCGGAGCCACGAGACAACGTCTGGATCCAACCACAACAGGGAGGAGGTGGGATTCTCGACCCAAATGAGACCGCCGCGGGAGTCAACCAGACAGAGAAGATGACGCGCCCGTTGGTGCAGAACAGAGGAAACCCTCAGCTCTTCGGCCTGCGAGGCAGAGGGAGAGGGAATGCCAGTAGGGTGGTGGAGGGTGCGCACCGGAGAAGGGCCACCAGGACGCAGGCGGGACCGTGAAAAGGCTGCACAAGGCGGAGCAGCACCGGCAGCACCCACCAAGCCTGAAGAACAAAGGCGGCAGAGGCGGTCGAAGCAGGCATCATCCAGCAAGTCCGCTGCAGAAGCCGCAAGCTTGTCGACAGGTTCAAAACAAGCCTTCCTGAGCGCCTGAAGTGCAGTGGTCACAGGGGAAGACGATCCGGAAAAAAGGTCCAGGAACAACCTGGCAGCGGGAATAGAGGGCGCCGCCGGGTTGGCCACCGACGGCGAGGGTGGGCCCACGACAGCAGTCGGGCCGTCCGCCCGAGAAGGACGCGGAGCAGAAGCAGGAATCGGCGGGACCGCTGAGGATGCAGAGCCAGGAGGAGACAAAGGAAGAGGCGGAGACGGAAGTGTCGTGTCAGCCGCAGGAGAGAGATGCACGGAAGGCGAGAGACCGGCGCCAACAGCAGGAGCCTCCGCAGACCGTGCCGCCGGAGCGGTCGTAGGGTCGACGGAGGGGAGAACCGTGGAAGCTCAGTGAGGTGTCTTGCCATGGTCCAGAGCAGAGTGCGGTTGGCCGCAGGCTTTGCCGGAAGCGAGCGGGACCGGGCAGCCGTGCACAAACTTGCAGTCGGTCTTAGTGCACTTGTCGACTGCGAAACGCATGCAGGCCTCTTTATCCCCGATGGTCTTGCACCAGGACGGGTCCCAGCCTTTCGGAGGCGGATTGGCAGCGGTCTTGGCCTTTGCCTTGGCTTTGGCCGCAGCGGAATCCTGACCGGACGAATTGTCGGTCAGCTGACGCTTTCTGCCCAGACCCTTGCCAGTTTTGCCATCGGCGGAGGGCGGAGGCGGAATGCGGGCCGGACGGGGACGGGGCTGGAGCAGATTCGACATCTCACCGCGACAGAAAGCGATTTCGCTAAGTGCATCGGGGAGGCTCCAGCCATGATCACTCGTCAGCTCGTAGACGGAGGACCAGACCGCCCTGTCCGCGTGGAGGATCTCCTGAAGAGTGGGAGAACGAAGTGCCTGATCGAGAGGAGCCGCCAGAGCCAGGGACAGAAATTTCTCGTGAAATTGCTTTATGGTCGCAAGATGCACGAGATCTAACATGGCTAAGGCGGTAGCCAACAGAGACCGTGCACGACGCAGGACCGGCTCCGGATGACCCTGCATATTGACCGAAACCGTCGGGCCAGGAGGCTCGGGTACATCATCCAGCAGCTGTCGGATGAAGGAGCGTCGTTGCGAGGTTTGCGCGTCTCTTCCCAGCGTGCGGCATCAGCCAGGCACGTGCGCAATCGCCACGGGACCCAGAGGGAAGCGGCAGAGTCACTGTGCTGCTTCAGCAGGGACAGAAACTCGAGAGAAGGGGTGGATGACGGAGTCAGGAGTTCCCCCGGATACTTAGCCATGAAATCTTTCTTCAAGTGAGTGAAGTCCGTGGGCTGGAGCTTGGCAGCCACGGAGGAAGAAGCGGGCGGCACCGGCAGACCCAGAGTGGAGAGCCCTGGGGTGACGCGTGGTGGTGCCGCCAGGGCAGCCTCGGACAGCAGGCGGCGGAGACAAGCCGCGTCTGCAGACACGAGACCAGCTGCAACGGTGTCGTCAGACAGACCGAGCAGCGTGCGGATAAAGACCTTGACCTCATCAGGGTCAGAGGGATCCGCAAGCGCGTAGGCCAAAGAACTAAGAGAAGAGTACCCCTTCGCCGCTAGGGCTGAACGCACGGCCGCGGAAGCAGCAAGCTGTTCCAGCAGGGCCGCGAGCGCCGCCGGATCATCGAGACGCGGGCGGGCAGCCATGAGTGAGGGGCGAGAAGGGGGACACTAAGGAGGAGAGAAAAGAGCAAAAACGGCTGCGGCGAACACAAGACAGGAGCACAACCCAGACAGTCAGGCCAACAGGACGCCAGCAGGACGCAAGCACGCTGTTTTGATAGGCGCGACGCAGGCGGCTCCAGTGAGCTAGTACCCGTGCAGCCGGTGGCAGCGGGCGCAAGCGTGCGTGCGATGACCCCTGCCCCGGATGGGGCGCCCGCAGAGTCGGTCACAGTCCGGATTGACGCACGGCAGCATGCAAAGGTCAGGCGGGCCAGACGGCTGCTGCACAGTGTGCATGCCCAGGCTGCCGCGATCACGCCCCCGCCTGCCTCACAATGGTGGGTTAGGAGGGCATCGAGGCGTCCCCAAGATGCGCTGCATACGTGGGTCAAACGCAGGGTACGATGCTCCAGAGCAGACAGTAAGAACAGCAGACGGGCCCGGAGGTTCGGTGGATAATATGTCAAGGAATCCACCCATCCGAAGCCTGCGGATTGAGCCACAGCGCATAAGGGTTGCTGGGGCCTCCACCGTCTGTGTTGCAGCGGCAAGGCGGATCGGCCGGAGCAGGCATCGGGGCAGAACCAGAGGGGTGAGGAGGGCGCAGACGACCAGGGAGTGACCACTGGTGGTTCCCCCCTGGAAGACGGCTCCGGCTCCTCCTCGGCCTCGTGGGCCTGGGTCGTCGGAACGGGCATGGTCGGGGCGTGCCCGTGTGCCAACGGCGATGGGGACGGCGGATCCAGCACCGTGGGGGCCAAGGCCGGGGCGTCCATGGGAGCATCCGCCGGGCTCGTGTCCGAGATCCTCAATGGGATCAGAGGCGGCTGGGGCGGCCGCAGCCACAGGAGAAACCGACTCGATGGGGTCCGACGAAGACATGGCGACGAGCGGACGACGGGACAGGACGAGGGACACGACGAACCGAAACGGCAGATAAAAGCAAAGTGGATAACACCGACCAGGCGCACAGCAGACTCTGGCACAAAGACCCCTTGTTTGCGCCCACCCCGCTGGTCACAGCAGCTTCAGACGATGAAGGCAGCCCGTGCGCAGGCAGAGAGTGGCACCTTTGGGCCTTTGGGGAAATCAGAGAGGAAGCTGTCTGGCGCCAGTTGGGAGGTACGAGCCCCGCAGATTGGGCGGAGCCAGATGTCCTCGCCGGAGACAGAGGAGTACAGCTTGGAACGAATGGCCTGAGGCTCTGTGGCTACGGCAATGTGAACCACGTTGCTTCGGGAGTTCCGCGGAGGGGATGGCTGCCGGCAGCGGGGCAGCCTCGGGAAGCAGTCGGACGTGAGGGAGAAGTCCGACGGAAGGCCAGTTGGGGCAGGCAAGGTGACCGGAAAATCCGGCAGAGGCTCGTCCAGGCCGCGAGCAACCGGCTGCAAGGGCCGGAATCCGGAGCGCAAGGCCAAAACCAGCTGTCGCTGGAAGCGAAGCATTGGGATAATATCGTCCCTGGAGTAAAGGGAGACTGACTTGTCGGAGCCAGAAAGTCGGTGGTGACCTTGGATGCGACGAAGTTCAGACTCAGACCCCAGCTGGCGACCCCAGGCCAGTAACGTACATTTCAGAGAATGTGCCGCTACCAGCCCAAATGCAGCCGGAGGCGGCGACGTTGAGTGGAGATGCCAGTGACGGAGAAGCAGGCCCCGAAGCCACAGAACCATCTTATCCCGTTTCAAAGGACCACCCATGACCGGACGAGCTTCGGAGCCGGACAGGGTGGCGGGAACAAAGTCCAGAGTGCGACCCGGGGATAACCGCATGGTGTCCGCAGCACACTGAGACAGGATGCTGAGGAAACGGAGTGCCCAAGACGCAGAGGCAGAGCCAAGGAGGCCAGAAGCGAGGATGCCGAAGGGCATTCCTCTTTTAGTGGTTTTAGTACGAAGGCACGTACCCACCAGCGCAGACGCTTGGGGCTGGTAGTGGAGACGGCGGGGAGGGACCCAGAGAGCGTCGCCCCAGCGTAAGCTGCCCCAGATACAGAGCAGAAGGTAGCCAACCCTGAGGATTTCGGCCGCAGATGCGGACGGATCCAGAACCAGGGATTCGAGCCACACAACAAAACTCAGGCTCAGTGGCAGACTTTCTCGGTGCTCCGTAGGGGAGGACGCAACGGAGAACGCCTGACAGACAGGAGACACCAGAGCCGCTTTGAAAGCCGGGAGACCCGCCGTCTTGCAAAACCACGACAGAGCCTTGAGCTGCATGGTTGACAGACCCTGTTTACTGGCTTGGCTGCGCAACCAATCCGGGAGCAGACCCGGAGGCGGAGACAAATGATTGGCCCCGGCCAGACGGCAGAAGGAAACCCAGTTGAGCCAGGCATCAAAGTAACGCTGCAAAGTGGAAGGGGCAAACCTAGCAGCCACCCGCTGCACATGAAAATCCATGTGGGCGGAGGCAGATGCCTCCACAAAAAGGGCGCTCTCCGACCCCATTTCTTTTAAGAGCTCCGTCCAGCGGAGAAGAAGAAGACGCATCTCTTCAGATGCCTGTTCGGCGGAACCGGCCACAGGGCCAACCGGAGAGGCAGGCAGGCGCATCAACGAGGTGGATGCAAGCCCGGTCGAGTCAGACACCGCAGGCAGAGCAGAAGGGGCATGGATTGCTGGCCTGGGTGCAAGACCGAGCACAAAGTTATCCAAATGGCGTCGTGACGGAGGCGGGGCCGGAAATGGTCTGGACGGAGGGGCCGGAAACCCGCGAAGAGGCGGAGGAACAGCCGGAGCAGGCGCCGGCCTAGACGCCAGTGGCGTGAACGCACGAGGTCTGTAGGACGCCGACAAGGTGCCTAAAGCCCAACGTGATGGAGGCCGGACCAGAGAAGCCGAAGCAGTGGCAGAGCAGATCGGGGAAACAATTGACCAGGTCGTGCCACTGGTACTGGCGCCCGGCAGCGAGGGAACACCAATATGAGAGGTGGATGCGGACGGCGGAGTGGTGAGCAAATGTGGTCGCGGGCTGGGAGTAGCCAGCAGGCTCAGCGGAGAAGCAGGCGCAGAGACAGAGGGCGGTCCGCTGGGACGAATGCCAGGCGGAGAGTGCACAAAGTCCGGAAGCGGAGAAGAGCCGACACCGAGGGCGGAAAAGCCTGGGTCAGCGACAGCGTTCTGCGCGCCGATTGAAGAGGACCAGGTGGACCTGCCAGGTGCAAACAGACGAAACGTCAGGAAAGAAAGCCCAGGGCCTGTCTCGAAGAGCAACAAGTCGGGGTCCTGAGCAAGTCAAAAGCAGTGGTGCAGAAAGAAACAAAGCAATGCAACAGCAGTGAACTGCAATGGGCGCACTGTTTTAAAGGGACCGCGAAGCGGCAAGTAAGGGTCGGCAGGCAGACGGGCAGATGCCGACCGCTGCAGAAGAGAAGACGGCGGGCAGAATCATGAAGATTCAGCCGCAGAAGGAAGAGGGGAACCGGAGGCTCGCCCTCGATTAAGGATACTTGAAAAAACGGGGAAGGCCGTAACCAGAGGCAGCCCAGCAGCCGAGCACTTACGGCATCGGACGCAGGGCGGATGCGGAGACGGACAGATGGCTCACCTGCCTGTAAGGCAGTGAAAGCAGGTGTGCCCATCATGGCCGGACCTTTCGCCCACCATGATCGGACGCAGACACATTCCAAGGCACCTGTTGCCCTCGGAATTTGTGGCCAGGCGGGCGCAGATGTGCGTGCAGTAACCTCGCAGAGCGAGGTGCTGCAAAGGCTCTGCCGGGGCCAGCGGAGTGATGTAGTCCGGGCGCTCGTCCGGACGCAGACAAAACAGATCCGGAAAAGGCCACCAGGTTGGCCTGTGCCACACTCCGGCGGTTCAGGGAGCAGCATTGAGCTGCGGTGGCAGACGCGGAGTGACATCGACCCACCGGTAGGTGTCCGGAGGCAGACTGCGTGGGTCGAGCTGAGCGGACCAACCTGCCTCCCAAAAATCATTGGGATCAAAAGCGCGGCCACGGGGGGCGGGCGGACCGATCGACTCAGGTGCAGCTGCGGGTGCGGTAACCTCCGGTGCCGGAGGAGGGGCACCGCTTCCGGAAGCAACGTCCGCCAGAGGGTTGGCGCGGACGGGAGCGGCCGGCGGGGCGTTCAGCTTGGGGTGTGGCAGAGGGCAGGCTTTTTGCTGCGGAATCGGACCTGCAGCCTGACTTGCACCCTTGGCGGGTGGCTCCTTAACCGGCGGACCCGAGCGACCTCCAACAGGAGGAGGCGGGGTCGGAACAACCGGAGGCAGGGCGGGTGCGGTGCTGCCGTCGTACCAGGCGAGCCTGGCGGAAATGGCAGACAGAGTACCCGCACTGAGACGGAGCAGATCAGAAGTCGGCAGGAACGCCACGATGTCACTCCATGCTGCCGACGGCGGAGACGGGGCGGAGGCCTTGGGATCGTCAGAAGCGGCCAGAGTCCCCGCCTCAGGTTCCAAGAACCGTGCCGGCGGCAGAAGTCGGCGACCGCAGCGGAGCCGGACCGGGAGCGGAGCCCTCTGTAGGACGCACAGGGTGCGATTCCGAGGTAGATTCCGAAGGAGAGGGCTCGCAGGACCGGCGGTCCGCAACAGGTCCGGGAGCAGATGAAGCCGTCATCGCAGGCGGACAGGAGAAGAGGACGAAAGGGGGCACAGCAGACGTGAACAAGACGGCTGCGGCACATAACACGTCCCTCAAGAGCAGAAGCAACTGCAAAATTGCGGACAGACCTGACGCAGAGGAGCAAAAAGTCCTGCGGCGCCGAAGGGCCCAATATCCGTAAAGAGGGAGAACGTGACCGGCGACCTGATAGCCAGGTGCACCAGGAAAATCGGCAAACGGCAGCGGTCAGACACTGAGCCGGCTGCGCGTAACCGATGAAGAGGAACTCGGACCTGAACGGCAGAAGATGCACAAGCCATGCGGTCAGTGAGTAAACTGAGCCAGCGACGGCGGCGGTCACGAGAAGAAGAAGAGCCTGGCTAATAAGCCAGACCAAGAGAGCGGAGCAGACAGACGGCAAAACCGGCCTGACGTATCCCGGCTATCAGAAGACGTCGAGGAACGACGTCTACGGTGACGTCCCCGTCGTCTGCCTTCCAAGGAAGGGCAGAGCAAGCAGGGAACAGAGGCAGAGTAAAATCCATTCTGGCCTCGAGCCATCCAGGAGCGGGAATCCAGGAACACTACAGAAAAACTGCGGAAACGGATCCCCGCTCGAACCAGGTGGCTTCGGCGGGGGGTCCGTTGCGTGCACTACCAAACACATCCGTTCAAGCACGGTACCAACTGCTTTCTTTGCATATCGATGCCTCGAGGTTTTACCACAGCAATATCCCGGTGTGCCCGGGTTCTCCTTCATAGAATCGGACCAGTTACAGCAGCGAGTGCGAGTCGGAAAAGGTTCGAATGCGAGTTGGTAAGGTTTCAGCAGCATAAGCGGGAATGGATCTATGCCATATTACAGCGTGCATGCTTATTACGCGATTCTTGGATTGATATGTCGTGTGCAATGAGTCAAGCGCTGGCAAGTCAACAATAAGTCGAATTGTGAGATATTTGGACGGGACAATTTGTCCATGTTACCGATATACTGCTGACAATGCCATGCATATCTCCACGACGATACATCATTCCTGCAAGATGTATGGACTCTATACACTGACATGTGTCATCACAATTCATCGACAGTGTTGGGATCAACATTCGATGTTCTGTTTATATAATACTCGTCTCCATGAATGCGAGTAATTTGATATAAGTACTTAATAGAAAAATATAGTCTAATCGATCCGGAACTTTTCAGGTAGTGGCTTTGTAATGTGGGCTGTGCTTGTATCTTATATTTTGCTTTCCATTATGTGCTTAAGACAACAAAACAATGGTTATATAGACCCTAAAGGTATCGGGCACATACATGTATACATATATTACACATCTACATCTATACAACTATACATATACACATACGTATGTATATACATATAAACATATACACGCATATACATGTATATATATACACAGATACAAAGATGCATAGATATGTATATATATATATATATATACATATATATAATATATATATACACACATATTTGCATACAGGCACACATACACATACACAAATACTTTAATGTACTTACATTCACTTCATGCATATATGCATATATGAATATGTACATAGATTATACGCACACATGTACATTTTTCCAACCCTCTCTGACGCCTGCACTCAAAACTAGATCAGGTAGGACTATTAACAGGTGCGGTGCGTTACTTTGCATTTTAATACAATAGCATTTGTTCATAATTGGAGGTGATGCTATGTTCTATCAATATTGGATTTGGTTCTTTGGGAATCCAGAAGTCTATCCTTCCAGCATTCGGTAATCAATAGTTTAACAATAATTGCCTTATTGCATGTTTAGTGTCTTTGGCTAACTTGTCTATAACCGGATAATCTTAGCTGTGAAGCTATGAGTTGACTTGGTATATTAGGATGAATAAGTTTGGGCACATCATATGTTTACCATTCTTATGGAACAGTGATACAAGAGCTAAGTTGCTTAATACATTGATGATAATATCATTACCAACTTGTTCGTTAAGACCATGTAGTTGGTATTCTACATATCTGGACAAGTAACGCATGTCTACTGATATTATATCTCTCATATAGTCTGTTTACAATGGGGGGTTCAACCGGTATTTTACTTGGCAATGAGTGGCCTTGATATAGATGTTCATGACTCTTGTTATGTTGTTGCACTGTTTCATTATGCCTTATCATTAAGTACAATCAATGCTACTCCATTAGTTCTATTATGTCTATTGTCAAGTGCAATATTGAGATGACTTACTAACACTAGATGAACAGCTGTAAGTATTGGCTTTGGCATGAATGGTTTCGGCGCTCACACTCGGACAATCCAGGCGAGGCATATGGTTCGGAGTCTGACAATGTGAAACTTTCTAAAGGGCCAGTCAAGTATTGATCAATACAACGGATGGAACACATAAAGTAACTGTACCTGAGAAGACTGTGCCCTTGCCGGAGATCCTACTGACTGAAAGCAGCTGAAGACAGGTACGATCTCAGGCAATGACATCAGCAGATCATTGAACGGGGCTCAGGCGATATCGTTACCTACGACTAAACAAATAAAGTGCAGGATCGGGACGATCCGGGTACACAATGATCTGAAAGCACACCAACTTCAGTCGACGTGGAACATTCTCATAATGTCCATTCGTCAGCATGTTACCGACTGTTCGACTAATTATCTGCATCTTGCATAAAGCATAGTGAAACGGCGGACTATGTGGAGCTGCCTGTGGACGACATAAGAAGACTGCAATCGCTGGGGCTCATGCTTGTTGACAATGCACCTTCTGACAAGAAGTGGGCTACTACAGCAAACGCATATCCTCATGCTAAACATGGTTGTCATTCCCAACAAGCTGATACGTGCAAGCATCCATGCTACCTACTTGCATTGAATTAAATCGACATGCAGATTTTGCCCCTAATTACTCCTCACATGTGCATCGCCGGACCCAATTGAATACCTGATAAGGACCATGTACTCAATAGGGTCCAGTGAGCTGTACGTCAGATCTGTCAGAAAAGATGCAGTCTCCAGAGCTGCTGCTGAACTCCGTGCTGATGGATATACACCTGGTTGCTTGGGCCACTGAGTTGGTCATATACCTGCGCGTCAGCCCAGGTCAATATAGCCTCCCAGCGTTCCCAGCGTCTGACAGGTAGACCATCATGCATCATGCAGCACGCACCAAATTCAGCTGTCGTCAACATTTTTTTTTTGGCTTACCCTGGGTCCTCTGCTGCCGTCTCCCCACCGGAGTTGTCTTCCAAGCACTTCTCCACACACCGTCACCGGGAGCATCTCACATGCAGTAAATTCCAGAAAAGGTCGATCTCCTGTATTGGCGAGGGCGTCATGGATTCTCTCGGAAAGCATACGTGCAATGGCGAATACCGCAGGAACATTCAGAGTAGGCAGGATCAGTGTGCCATGCACATCGTGTCCATCGTCCTCTTCCCTTCTTCTCTTGCGTATTGAGCACCCAAAATCAGAGCAGTGTCATCCCAGCTGGCTTTCGACGCAATGCCGATGCCAGGAGCAGGTTGCAGCTGCCATGTTTGCACGCGCAGGTTAGTGGTTTTCTTAGGGGAACACATGGACCCAACATAATCCCTACCAATATAGCCACGACCCAATGAGAGAGCACTAGAATATAAAAGGAACGCATGAATGGTTTAGGTTAGCTGTGTGTAGAGGTTAATACAAGTTAAGTTATCTAAGTTTTTCATGGAAGTTGTGTTATCTTATGCGAAGGTTTACACCATTACATCTCAGCGGTTTCTAACGTTTAAGCCTAGTAGAGTACAAGACTAAGGAGATTACTTAATATAGTGGTTGGAATAATACTTTTTGCCACCCGCCCAGCTGAACATGTCGCACCGCAAGGAACGCGTCAGAACTCGCCAAGACTAGTTGGGAGGGAAGACTCAGGGGACAATATGCACTCCGTGTTGACAGGCCCAGGAGCAAGTAACAACCATAGAAAGTGCGAGTGCATATCATCGCCGAATCCTCGAGACCTAGCGTCTCCCAAGAAAGCAAGCCGTAACTACCCCCAACAACCCCCATAGATAACCAGTACGGCTCGCCCCTTCTAGGGAAGAGGCATCAGGTTTTGGAATAATACTAGTTCAGTTGGTTTGAGGTTGCACGTTAGTTTCACGCTTTGTCACTACAGTCCCTTCCAACCAAGTTAGTTTAACAGGCATCGGGGAGGCCACCGGGAGATTGTCATGAATCGCGACTGCTGTGCAGATATGAGTCACTGGGAAATAGAACTAAGCTTGAGTACGGAACGCCGCAAGTCACAAACTGTATACGGCATGAGTGAGATCAGTGATGCATGGGCGAGGTCTGTGATGCAGCACGCGACTGACATGCATCGGCTTCCGTTGGAACGCGCAGCGGTTCATTGAACTGTCTAATAGGTAGCCAATATGCCTCAAAGCGTCGTCGCAATAGATACGATCGTCTTTGGAAACCAAAACAACCAAAACCAAAAACAACAAAAAAACAAAGAAACAAAATCAAAAATAAAACAAAAAACTTGCATAGCTCTCCCACTTGTGTATATTTCTAAGGCCATTCTGGAAGAACAGTGAAATAATGGTATGTTTTATTTCTTTTGATTTTTGGCTTTGCTTTTTTTGATTCTTGGGTGTTGTTGTTTTTTGGTTTTCTTGGTTTTGGTTTTTCAGGTTTATCAAAGGAAAGGGGCTGGTGTTTCTTAGGAGTTTAATTACAGCAACGCCCCTAAGAGCAAGAATTGATAGCGATGTCGTCGAGGAGGCGGACCCGAACTGCTCAAAACGCCGAGGCAGACTTCGACCCCCGAACCAATATGGTTTTCGCGACCGAAGTTAAACAGCGAAAACGCAGCGGACAGTTTTCGACCTCAAACAATATATATATATATATATATATATATATGTATATATATATGTATATGTATAGATAGATAGATAGATAGATAGATGGATGGATAGATAGATAGATAGATAAGCGGATAAGCATGATCGAATATAAACATATATACACGTGTACAAACATGACAAGCAAAATGTGTACAACCATGCATATACAATGTATTGTTTCGTGGTTCAATCTGTGCGTGGGTTCCATACTGCGACAAGAATTTCACGGTGTTCTAACCACATGCAGCCTGCAGCCGACATCTAAATGTAGCTTCGGGTGCAAAATCAAGGGACAATCCATGTCCAGGATCAGTCGCTCGAAGCCGCGACATGCTTGAGTTCGTAGAGTCAGCTTGGGACATTTCAATGGACCAATGGGCCATGTGCCGTTCACAGCCTACAAGATGTGCTTCGGTTGACATGCTTGACTACCGTTCATCTAATGAGCAGCGGCTGTTGAGCCTGGTCAGCCCATTCCGTTCACCACCTTCTGAGGCTGATGCCCATCGTGCGCAGGCACCGGATCGCTGCACTTGCTTGAAACAGTCTTATGCTACAAGTACAATCCTTGATGCACTCATTCGGCCACAGGTGCTGAGGTTGTGAAGCAAGCTGACCAGGACCGCCGGCCATGTCGGGGGTGCCCTAGGTGGCCGCTCGGTCTGAATGGCCTGGCTGGAGGAGACCCGCTCGCGAGACCTAGCGGCACAGCAACACATCACAAGGCAGTGTAAAACGGACTCGCGCGCAACACTGCAGAATTTCAGTGGTCTTGGGGCTGCACAAGAGCAGAGATTTCCCTCTGGATGCCGCGACGTTGGAGACACCAATGATGGACACTGTCGGCGCGTCCGATGCGGCGAAACTGCTGCGTGACATGCCGCAGAGCCGGGGGGAGCCCAAGGAGAACTCTCTGTCCCGTAACTCTGTCCGGTCTACCACAGCTCAAGGTCTCTTTGGGCCATGTAAACGCGGCTGGAAACATGCGGCGTGACTTCATGTCCAGACTACACCGCCGTCGACACGAATGAAACATGTGCAGAGCGTGCAGTGGCTTCTCCCCTTTGCGGATGCGACCGGCTTCACGTGTCCTGTCCCAGGCCAGGCTACACAGCCTAAGCCCTGCCTGGCTCACACGAGGAACGGGGGGCCGGGAGGGCCCAGTCTGGAACCACGTGCCTTTGCCAGCTCACAACAGCTGCAAGCAAACAGACACGGCCTCGATGCCCTGCACTGACATTCCTAGACAACTCCTAGATCTGCAGCACAACATGCTCAACAAGACAAGCTTTGCTCCCATGGTAGAGGATGTGCGAACTACAAATGAAGAGCCACAGGAAGTAACGAGACACCAAGTCCCGGAACATGGCAAGTTGAAATCGTGTCTTTCATGGTTTGTTTATGCGAAGCGGCACACTCGCCGCCGCTTGTTCAACCAGGCCCAATACATATCTCTCATCACCCACACTTCCGCCCCACAGAGCGGGTAGCCGCCGGTCCTCAACGTCGACAATTTCCACCAGTGCCAAGAGCACTCGATTGTGAAAGAAGCAGCATCGATTCCGCATTTGATCGTGCTTGGAAAACTTCGATATTAATCTGTCTCAGTAGACTAACCACTTCGCTACCCTGCGGAAGTGTTGGGACCTTCAACGCCGACGAGAAGTTCGTGCGTCTGCAAATGAAGATCTGCCCATTTCATGCACTAACAAAATCCTGTGCACTGCTACCATCACGCTCATGATACCTAGCGACCTTGACATCTCTTGCACAAAGCATGCCTCTGTACTTATTTACTTCCGTGTGTGGTTCGTACTTGAAGCTACGGCCTCGAGCTTCAACAGATGCTGCATCACATCGCATCAGAGCATAAAGAAAAAACGTTGTGCCCAGCGAGTCCTGCCAGCCTCAGGTCACCGGCAAAAGAGCTGTGGAAGGTTGGAAAACCAAAAATTGCGGCCGTTGGCCCAAAGATGTTGCAGCGAATGACTTCTACACTGATTCTACACGATGTTGAGACTGCTTGAGCGTTCAGCCACGCCCGGGAGGTTACACTGACCCACGACATCTCGCGGACAACCACACAAGATCGTGAACCGGAAGGGTCAAGACAAAACATGCTTCGCACCAGTCACTGGTACCAGAGTAGCATTTCAAAGGGGCTGGCCGCAGCTTCGTATGCTGCCTAGACAATGCTGCTTTCCATTGTCCTCTATTGCATATCCGATCGCGTCCGACCCCCGATCGCCACCTTGTATCTTGAGCTGTATTGTGGAGCATGTCAGAGGTAGCAAGACCTGCTGGCAACAGCTTTTCGCGCCATTCGCAGAAAACTGAGATTCAGACTTGACCAGACTTGCCGGCAGGCGTCAACACCCTGCGCCCGACGATGATTGCCCCGGCGGCTCTGTGGCCTTGTCCGTACGTGCAACAAGCACAAGCCCCAAGTGCCAATGAACCGACGACGTGACAGATCGTGTGGGCCGCCGTGGGCTCAATTACGGTGAGGGCAAGCAGATAGCAACAGCTCTGGGAACTGCACTCTGTTCGGTCGGCGTCGGCTGCCGTGATACAGAGGCCGACGGCGGCCCTGATGCACCAGAAGCCGGAGTTGCCGGGCGCAGGTCTGAAAAGCCTGCATGAAGCGGCCGTCTGTCGAGTTCACAGGACCACAGATCTTGGGCGACCGCTCCTGTGTGAAAAATATCCTGAGCATCCGAAAGCCGGCGGTGAAAGGTGTTTGAAGCCGATGCCGGCCTCAGACAGCAGACTCAACGTCCAGAGCTTCGGCCCGTCCCCTTTACTTTGCTCCCGGCTGACTGCCATTGACACCGGGATCGTTCTCCCAGTCTCGCAGGCCTTGCAACCTCGAGTCCGCGTGGCGTGCCAATGCAGCTCCTATCAGCTCCCCCAAGAACATCCCGGAAAACCTCAGCTATGAGTCTATGACAATGAGCTTGCTTTTCCATCCCATTGCCAGGCTACCGGAAACATCCCGTACGCTTTCAACTCTGGCAACAGGATTTTGCAGCGCTCCAGAAAAGCACCAAGGTTCGAGCACATCTGCTATGGCTAAGTCCTCGTCCTGACAAGACAACAAATACACAGCAGCCACCGCTGCACAGAGACTTTCAACAATGAGGGCGACGTTACCTTGCATGCAACGAGTTGTGGAAAACAGAAAGGACCTCCTCCGTTTCCTCTGTGTGAAGAAAGAGCATTGGTGGGGGCCGCTTCTTGACCTGCACCACAAACCAAAGGCATCGACTGTCGTCCGCAATTGTGAAAATGCTGGCCTTCCGGGACCAAATGCCTCGACGCAGCCGAGTCAAAAAACCATACACTACCGATTCTGGCCGGTCCGCACCTTGCGGTGTTCCGTTCTGACAACTTTGGTCAGATCCTCGGCTTGCCGAGGATCTCACCGCACGCATGCGCAGCAGGAAGCAGCCACAAAGTGAGAGCGCGGGGCTACAGGACGTAGTGATTCCCACTTCCTGCATGCATTGCTTGGAGCCGTAGCCGCTGGGTCTCTGAAACTGATATCACGCCGCAGAGACACCACTACAAGTAAGTGAACTTCTGCTTTGCACCATGAACCTTTGAGCAACACGGAGGCTCAGCTCTCATGACTGATCTCCACGCTAAGTGAACTGCTTGAACATGGCAGGAGCATCACCATCATCTTCTCCGTCACTGTCGATACTGTAGCAGTAGCAACAACAACATCAGCACGAAACGGCACGAAGACCATCAGCCTTCGCAGTCCTGCACGACAGGCTCCGCCTCCTCCTTGTTCTTCAAAGAGTCGGTCTCGCAGTCCGTGTCTCTTTCCCATGCCTTGGTTTGACTTGTATACCCACTTGCCCTCGCAAGCTCACTCGCTCCGAGAACGATGCCCCGCCCACCGGACGTGGAAAACCGCACCAGCCTGGCAGGCTCCATGTTCAAGCCAGGACGACATTGTCGCAAGCTCGGCAAGGATGCCAATCTCCATGTCCAGCGTGCCCAAGTACGGCTCCCAAACCTTGTGTGCAACGGAAGGATGGCAAGCGTGATTCAGGCCATGCAGGGCAGAAGATATCACTACCAGCTCCTACGTACATAATTCCCAACCGCCACAACCTGTTGTGACTTAGTACGTCGGCTTTGGCATCAAGCATACTCGTGTTGACGGATGTTGCAGCATCATGCAACAGATCGACATGTAAGCTTTCACTCGACATTTACATCACAATCGACTGCCATCATACGTGCGAGACATATTTCGATCATGTGTCCAGCTGCTTTAGATTGTGCCTAGCTCGAAAGGCAAACCTCTCGGCTAATCAGTCAAAACTGCTGTATCAAGTCGTTCCTCATCTTCATGTCAGACGTATCAACAAGAAAGCCAGCCGGAAACATCTACCCAAACTGGGGCCCCGTCGCTCAAGCGTGAGTCGTCCTGATTGCTCAGGATTTTCAACGGGCAATCTTAAGAGTTCGCGCAGCAGGAATCGCGCTTCGACCTAATTTTTTGTGACAGCTCCAACTGTTGAAAAGATTCTGTTTTATGCTGTCATCTACTATGCAAAAACATAAAGCGAGCTGACAGAGTCTCCTTCACCGGCACAGGCGCGATGATTGCCCGAGTCCAGGCCTCCAGCAACTGTGCTGCATTGAATCGCACCCGAGTGTTTCTCCTCTTGGGTCGTGACACTTTCTGGCTGCTCGTCCTACACCACAAAGCAGTACAATGCAAGGAATTGCTGCAAAGGAATGCAATGCATCATGCAAGCAGTCCATGAGGCAGAACGGGTCAAAAGCCGGCTCCGACTGCATGGCCTTCAAAGGCCGAGACTTGCTCCCCGATGAAGAAGGCGCAAAATCTTGAGCTGCGCTTCCTCGCCCTCCTTTCGCCACTTCACGGGACCTCCGCCGGCCTCCTGCAAAGCTTCTGCTTGTGGTCATTTCTGTTCGTGCCGAAGGCAGAGTAAACTTTCCTGGGGCCGTTCCCACACCACAGGAAACGCTTCCACGGGAACAGAATACAAGACGCTGAACCTTGGTCCCACAAACACGGCCGCAGACGGACACATAGGAGGTCGGGGCCCCGAGGCCCGAACATATTGGCCCACTGAGCACGGCGGAGCCCTTTCAAGGCTCTCAATGTCAAGTTGATCGAGTGCCAGCACCTGAGAAGCTGTGAGAGCATGGGACGCCGCCAAAGTCCCGGCGGAAATGAGGCAGAAGCACACCAATCCCCAGAACCACGATTCGCAGCACCACCGGCCTGGAGAGCCACGATGGCGCGATGGTGCACGGAATCTCCCCTCTTCCGATTAGACTCCCGTACTTGAACGGCCGTAGACCCTAAGACCCTGGAGCCTGCTCAGCGGAAACTCGCAAAGGCAGAGACAGCTGGTCGACGAGCCAGGCTCTGATACGCCCCACAACACCGCGTACCTGAGCCAAGTTCGGAGCCAAGCTGTGCAGTGGGGACCGACTGTGCATCACAGGGAAGAGAGCTGAGGTTCAGGCGCATGGGTGTCTAGCAGCGAGGTGAAGACCACAAAAACGACGGCCCACATCGCACAAAGGATAGATGAAAGAAAGACCTGCCGGTTCTTTCATTCCGGCCGACATTCACATCTCCTGCAATCGTCCGCTCGGCTCAACATGCTTCGAGCTTCTGGCCATGATTCGAGACATCTTCACCGGAGCATATACACCTCATGAAAATGGATTCATATTTGGGTGAGCAGCAAATTCGTGCGAGACTCGGCCCTATGCACACTAGCAGCGAAAACGGATACATCACCTGCAGCGTGGTCTCTGGGCAACATCTTCGATCAAAGGCGGAGCAACCAGGATAAACAAAGCGGGTGCACCACCATGAAAGCAACGGTTTGGAAGAGCGACCAAAGCATGACCTGAAGCACGGCTTGGCAACAACACGAGCTCATCAACCAACTTTGGATTTGTAAATTGGAATTTGAAGGTGACCAAGCTTCAAGATAAGGTCCATTCCTGGGAACCGAAACAGACACTGGGCTGCTGGGGCCAGCACCAACACAGCCAGAACGCAGCGATTCTGCGACCAAATGCGCCTTGTCTGTTGCCGTCCTCGAACACCTACAGATAGCAGTCGTGCGACCCTTACATTGAAAGGGCAGAGCTCTGGGCTGCAGGCACGTCAAGCAGTCCCACAAGCATGGAGTAGCATACTTCATGTTGGGAATCGACCTCGGCTCAGGACGCTGTGTGTTCTTCGGACGTCACCAAGAAGCAGATCTTGGGTTGCTGCAAGATAAACGGCCGCTGGTCTTCTGCGAGCAGGGCCAGATCCTGCGCAGAGACACAAGCCCAAACCTGGCGCCTGGCGCCCCTTCAGCTCTCCAGCACAGGCATTCTAGCCCTTGCGTCACCTTCGACACAGCACTCTCAGTCATGAATGAGAATCGCAAGACTGAGCAGCGACGTGAGGATGAGGAACAAGATACTCCAAAGTCTGAAAGGATGCACACCTCAAGGCGACTTCGATTTGGAGCTAGGTGAAGTGGGGCACGGCACATTCATCGAGGGCCCAGCCCACATTCACGGTATGGAGGCTGCCCAGGTCTCCGGACATGGCCCGGAGTGGAAGCCATGGATTGTGGCCTGAACAGCCAACTTGAACTTCAAAAGACGTCCACAACCTTGCTTCTGCAAGGGCCCGACATGTCTGACCTGGCAGATGCTCACGCAGGATGCTTTCGCCGATCTCTCTGATTTAGATTCGCGAAAACGGGCCTTTGACTGAATCCGGGAGCTGCGGGCAGGGGGTCGTCAGATTCAAGCCTGGCTGGACTAAGTGAGCTTGCCGCAGCTGGCCGTGGCTAAGAGCAACGGTTTCTTCAGAAGTGGGACAGCATTGACACTAGCCGCAGCTCGTCCGTCTTGCGCAGCTGTTGATCTTTTCCGTGCTCAACTGGAACCTGTACTGACATTGGGAAAGTGTGCGCGCAACTCATCTTCCCACATCATGCCCACTGCACGTTTCCAAAGCCAGCTACCATCAGCTGGGCAGGTCTGGTCATGGAACGGTTGAGAACCAGGGTACAGCAGATTCAAGTATCAGGTTCGTCCATGTGTGCGCAATTCGTCACGTGAAAACCATGCCGGTGCTGATGCCACTCCCTCGGGTCTTGGACCGTCCGGGAGCGTCCTGCCAACTACACTAGTCCATTATCTTGGGGTAGGATGGAGGCGATCTTACAATACGTGGAAAACCAATCTCACTGCTTTCACCTCCATCCAAAATCAAAAGAAGCGCGTGAGACTCTGCAGACACTGCAGGATCCGATCGAACGAGCAGGACATTGCCAACGCCGTTCTGTGACTTTAAAGAGAGGCTTGGCCCTACGTCCGAATTGCTTTGGTCCGTCGCTTGCGCTTGCAGTAACACACCATGTGGTCAGGCTGGCATTTAGGTCTTATGCATCCGGCAATCAAGCACGGAATCACAGCAACTCATTGGGTGCACCGCCTACTTTCCAAGCATGCCTCCTCCGCTGAGCAGTTTTCCTGCGATGCAACAGCCGATTTGACCCTGCTGCAAAGCGCAGCGCAGTGGAGAGGTTGCATCCCGGGCCTAAGGATTTCAAATCCATTGGCATTGCCGCACCTGCCGATTTCTTGGATGGCCTGCAGGAGGCAGCCATGCAAAGGAACACCAAGCAATTTGCAGATCGTTGGGTCGGAATCGTGTCTTGGCCTTGCATCCAGCGCCTTTGGCGTCTCAAGTCGCGCCGCAGGCTTCGGCTTCGGGTCGTAGTGTAGCCGTGGTGTGGCCATGACCATGCCCACGCCGTGGATGTGCGACTCTTCCGTGAGCCCTGGGCACCGAGCACTGCCGAGCACCGAGATCTGCCGCTGTGAGGCGATGCTTCGAGCCTCCGCTGGGCATCCCTTGGAGACGGAAGCTGGGTTTCGTTCGCGCGGCCACGACGGCCACGGGGTCCTCCGCAAAGGCTAGCGGCTACATGCCACATTGGACATGAGCAAAAGTCGCGAGCGAACGCCGACCTCTCTTGGCATCTCCTGTCGTTCTTCCTCTCTGTTTGCGAGCTTTTGCTGGAGGTCCTCTTGAGGTTACCAACGCAGAATGCAGACCACTCTCACACCAGTGGGCGCAGGAAAGCACGGCTTCTCACACCTCTCGTAGCAAAGCCCTGCGAGGTCTACTCACCACGGCGTCCTCCACCTGTGCCTCGCGAGCGGCCAGCTGGGCGAGCAAGTCCTGCTGGTGTCACAGCCTCATCGACGAAGTCTGAACTTCTCTCTGGTCCTCCTCTCGCCTATCGGCCAGCTGGCGCACTTCCTCAATGCGATCCTCAACTGCAGCAAGATCGGCCATCGCCTGCGGGAAAGGGGAAAGAAAAGATGCGAAAGTCTCACGCGACTCTGCGTATAGGCAGTTGTGGCCTGGTCCCTGGCGACCTCCGCATCGGAGAGCCGCCTCCTCAGCTCGCCCCTTTGTTCGGCGGCCTACCGGCAGCTTGACCCCAAGGTCTGGAACAGGCTTTGATCCGTGCCTTCTTTCGAAGCGCCACGTGAGTTTCCATGCGTACGAAGTCCAAAAGAGCCCGTGAAGTGCTTCCGTGCATCTACCAACAGAAATATGTACCCTTGTCGCAGCAACTATGGTAGACCTCGGCAAACTATGCAAGCAATCCTTTCGCAGAGGCAAATGCCACCGTAACAGCCGCATACCAACCTGGCAAATAGCTTCTGCCTCGGCATCCGCTGTAGAATACGCTTCCAGGTGACGCTTCTCAGCTTCTGTCCTCAGGGATGCGACACAGCGGCACACATGCTCATAGTATACAGAGCTTGAAGGCATTGCTGAATCGAATCCTGGACGAAACAGCCTTGTCCAAGGCCGTCTGCAAGGCCCGAATGCGGCAGTCCTGCACAGCATCTGCATGCGACGGACTTCGGTCGGCAATAGATAACGAGCTCACTCACCCAACACACATGAACAACCTCATGTGCGAAGCTGGAGAGAAGACCGGCTCGGGCTCCTGCTGCACACGCTCCTCCTCGAGCTGCTGCGCACGATGCTTCGCTTCCACCAGAGCCCATTCTCCTTGAACAACAAAGGCTGGCAGCTCTATCAAAATATCACAACGCTCCTCCTTACGCATCAGAGCTTGAAGCACAAAGAGACTGAAACATGTGGCCAGAACATGCATGCCCAATTCAACGTCATCGCCGACTGAGGTTGGTGTCGCTCCCACGCCTATCCGTGCCCCTACTGAGCAGCCGTGCCAGTACGAGCCGGCCTGTGGTTTTGCTACTGCATCCTATGACTCAAAGGGCCTCCAGGCCTAACTGGTGATCACCGAGCGTCGATCCTTGAGGGCCATCCGTGCTGCCAAAAGCGCTGCTTTTTGAGCATCAACAAGCCTAAACTGATCAACCTTTGCCACGTCGCTCGCATCTGGCAGTTGAGCCGAACGACTCAGCTTCTCATAGACGCCCACCAGCTCCACTGTGGACTCTGCAAGCAACCCGATCTCTTTTGCTTCAGAATCGGAGTGGTCGGGATGTTGCTCGTGCAGCTCTGCCAAAACGACCTTCAGTTGCCTCTCTCGCAAACTGCTGCCGTCGGAGAGCTCTCTGTCCGGAATCTCGAGCTCCGGGTTGTCGCTGTTCACGCAGCCTTCAGCTGCCAAGACAATCAATCTCACGAAGTAGTCTTCGTATTCAGGTGGTGCGCAGTATTCGGGCTTTGAGTGGGGACTGCAATACTTGCGCCAGCGGCTGCATCCGGTGTTGGATTTAGACTGTTTGGACTCTCGCGACTTGGGCACTGCAAAAGAAGTGGTTCGGCGGATGATTTCCTTGAGCCCTCCAAAATGGGGTACTCCTACGCGAGTTTGTCGTTGCATTTCGCGTTTTTGATGCTTCCCCCATCTGCACACACGCAACGACTGGGGTCGCTGCAAAGTCCTTGCATTTGCCGTTTCCGAAAGAGCACACCCCGTGCACACCGTCCCCCAAGAGTGAACAACTCGTGTGAAAGCCGGCGTGCTGCGGTTCGTTTTTGCAGCCTTCTGCAACTGCACACCTCCGGGGACAGGTGAAGAACGGACCCCGACATGCATGCATTTATACCTGCGTGTTGCGGTTCGTTTTTGCAGCCTTCTGCAAGTGCACACCTCCGGGGACAGGTGAAGAACGGACCCTGAGATGCATGCGCTTAGACTTGCGTGTTGCGGTTCGTTTTTGCAGCCTTCTGCAGCTGCACACCTCCGAGGAGAGGTGAGGAACGGACCCCGAGATGCATGTACTTATACCTGCGTGCTGCGGTTCGTATTTGCAGCCTTCCGCAAGTGCACACCTCCGGGGACAGGTGAAGAACGGACCCTGGGATGCATGATCTTATACCTGCGTGCCCCGGCTCGGTTTTGCAACCTTCTGCAAGTGCACACCTCCGTGGACAAGTACCCCGAGATCAGCCTTCTGCAAGTGCACACCTCAGGGGACAGGTGAAAGCGGACCCCGAAATGCATGCACGTATACCTGCGTGCTGCGGCTCGTTTTTGCAGCCTTCCGCAAGTGCACACCTCGGGGGACAGGTGAACAACTAACCCTGAGATGCATGATCTTATACCTGCGTGCTGCGGCTCGTTTTTGCAGCCTTCTGCAAGTGCACACCTCCGGGGACAAGTGAAGAACGGACCCCGCGATGCATGCACTTAATCCGCGTGCTGCTGTTGGTATTTGCAGCCTTCTGCAACTGCACACCCCCGGGGACAGGTGAAAGCGGACCCCGAGATGCATGCACGTATACCTGCGTGCTGCGGCTCGTGTTGGCAGCCTTCTGCAAGTGCACACCTCGGGGGACAGGTGAAGAACGGACCCTGAGATGCATGATCTTATACCTGCGTGCTGCGGCTCGTTTTTGCAACCTTCTGCAAGTGCACGCCTCCGGGGACAAGTGAAGAACGGACCCCAAGATGCTTGTAGTTATACCTGCGTGCTGCGGTTCCTTTTTGCAGCCTTCCGCAAGTGCACACCTCCGGGGACAGGTGAAGAACGGACCCTGAGATGCATGATCTTATGCCTGCGTGCTGCGGCTCGTTTTTCCAGCCTTCTTCAAGTGCACACCTCCGGGGACAAGTGAAGAACGGACCCCGAGATGCATGTACTTATACCTGCGTGCTGCGGTTTGTTTTTGAAGCCTTCCGCAAGTGCACACCTCCGGGGACATGTGAAGAACGGACCCTGAGATGCATGATCTTATACCTGCGTGCTGCGGCTCGTTTTTGCAGCCTGCTAACAAACCCTGAGATGCATGCACTTGGACCGGTGTGCTGCGGTTCGTTTTTGCAGCCTTCTGCGAGTGCACACCTCCCGGGAGAGGTGAGGAACGGACCCCGAGATGCATGCACTTATACCTGCGTGCTGCGGTTCTTATTTGCAGCCTTCCGCAAGTGCACACCTCCGGGGACAGGTGAAGAACGGACCCTGAGATGCATGATCTTATACCTGCGTGCTGCGGCTCGTTTTTGCAGCCTTCTGCAAGTGCACACCTCCGGGGACAATTGAAGAACGGACCCCGAGGTGCATGTACTTAACCCGCGTGCTGCTGTTTCTTATTTGCAGCCTCCTGCAAGTGCACACCTCCGGGGACAAGTGAAAGCGGACCCCGAGATGCATGCACGTATACCTGCGTGCTGCGGCTCGTGTTTGCAGCCTTCTGCAAGTGCACACCCCGGGGGACAGGTGAAGAACGGATCTTGAAATGCATGATCTTATACCTGCGTGCTGCGGCTCGTTTTTGCAGCCTTCTGCACCTCCGGGGACAAGTGAAGAACGGACCCCGAGATGCATGTACTTAACCCGCGTGCTGTTGTTTGCAGCCTTCTGCTGGCTCGGGAGCCTGGCAGAGGTCTAAAATTGTGTGGTGAGTGGCGCAATTCGCGTAAGCTGCGCGTAAGCAGTGCGTAAGCGGCGCCCTCCGTTGCCAAACCAGAGCCCAGCAGGAGGAGTGGCAGTGGACGCAGTGACAGTCGCAGTTGTAGCAGTGGCAATGGCAGCGGCAGTGGTCGTGGGCGTGGTGGCAGCAGCAAGCAGCAGCAGGAGGAGGAAGAGCAGCAGAAGAGTAATACCAGTGCTTTTCAAGCAGTTTTAGGCTTGATGTCCAAAGCCTCAAGGGCGATTTAAGAGCCATTCCCAATTTCACAAGCATGCCTACGAGACACATCAGTTATATCGGTGGCATCTTAGCGCATCAAACCCAGTCGATCCCGATGTAGACGCTCGATTTCACAAACAGGCGCTCAAAAAACACCTCAGACATCAGTGGCATCGCAGCAAACACCAAATCAAAACCAGCCATTCCCCATGCAGACACTCGAATTTGCAAGCGGCCGCTCAAGAAACACCTCAGTGGCATCGCAGCAAACACCAAATCAAAACCAGCCATTCCCCATGCAGACACTCGATTTTGCAAGCAGCCGCTCGAGAAACACATCAGTGGCATCGCAGCAAACAGCACATCAAAAGCACCATTCCCCATGTAGACGCTCGATTTTGCAAGCAGCCGCTCCAGCAAACAGCACATCAAAAGCAGCCATTCCCCATGTAGACGCTCGATTTTGCAAGCAGCCGCTCCAGCAAACAGCACATCAAAAGCAGCCATTCCCCATGTAGACGCTCGATTTTGCAAGCAGCCGCTCAAGAAACACATCAGCGGCATCACAGCAAACAGAACATCAAAAGCACCCATTCCCCATGTAGACGCTCGATTTTGCAAGCAGCAGCTCAAGAAACACATCAGTGGCATCACAGCAAACAGCACATCAAAAGCACCCATTCCCCATGTAGATGCTCGATTTTGCAAGCAGCCGCTCAAGAAACACATCAGCGGCATCACAGCAAACAGCACATCAAAAGCACCCTTTCCTCATGTAGACGCTCGATTTTGCAAGCAGCCACTCAAAAACCACCTCAGACTTCAGTGGCATCGCAGCAAAGAGAAACACAGCCTTTCTAGTTTACCAGCATGTCCCAGGATTTCGATTGACGCGCTTTAGCAGAATCCCCAACTGCACGCTGGACCTGAGACGTCTTAGGGCCTGGACCCTGCAGGGAAACAAACACCGCAGATCATCATCTTGAAAGCCTTTCCCCCATGTGCACACCGAAATGCAACGACCCCGCAACAACAATCCTTCCCCCGAAGGCTTGGCGCTGCCACGAACGAAACGCAACGACTTTCCCAACTGGGAGTAGGAGTTCATGATGCAGGCCATCTACGTCAATCCAATCCTGTTTAGGCTGTTTAAGGGACAGGTTTTGTCCAGCTTGTGCAGAGTTGAAGGAGCAGGTACACGTAAAGCTATACAACAAACAAAAACAGATTGTTTGGTCAGCACCGATACGAGAGTCAGCACGCGTACCAGTCAGCACATGTTGAAACAGCATGAACGAAAACGGTAGAACTGTTGCCTCACCTGTCTGCTCGTGGTTCCCGTAGTTTCAGCAACTGCATTCGCCTTTCACCTTTCGTCGCGAATGTTTCCACAGCCTATGTCCCCAACCCACAGCCATTGATCTAGAGGACCGTTACGATGGTCTGACATGGTGAGTAACAACTAAGGCTGCCATCTGTGGTACGGAACGCCGTCTTCCGACACTTTCTAACTTGCTCGGAGCAGGACAATGAACGGAGCTGGACAATGAACCACTTCCTTGCTCTGCAATCCACGGAGCTTCTGGCAATCTCGCTTTCTTCGGAAAGAAGCACCCGAAGGCGGCGCAGGCTCTTCACCCATGGTGCTTCCAAGCAACTGGCAGCCATGGCTTCGCGTGTCTTGAGCCGGCTGGGAGCCAGAAAGGTCAGGAAGAGCGATGTTGTCTTGGGCGTCACACGACCTTGCACACCTCTTGACTTACGTTTCCCACCGGCCTCTCCAGAAACGCCGATCCTCCAAGTCAACGGTGCATCTCGCCGGGTCTGGGTTGCTGGCGCACTCTTCCTGCGACGGAAGCAACTGTGTTCGGTGCGACACGTCCTGGCTTGTCTCTTGAGCGGCAACGCAAACAGCACCGCTCCCGGGGAAGCTTGCACACGATTTCATTGGAAGACGGCGAAGATAAGTTGAGGTAGGCCACATTGGCCTCGGTGCTCACTCGTGCCGATGGGGCAGCCCCCGTCTCCACACCTGGAATGGGGCCATGGCATTGTGCAGGTATTGGAACACACTGAAGTTGAAGACTGACGTCAAAATGGCCAGGAAGAAGACCTGACAGACTGGTGGACCAAGTCACATGAAGTCATGCAGCCCCAAGAAGAAGAATGACGCGATTCTGGCGAGCAAGCTCTGGCATTTCACCTGCCTTCACTCGGGATGGCCACAGATGCGGCACACCAAGGCGTCGCGCCTCATCGTTTTCGCTACAAATACAACACAGAGTGAAACAGCTTCACAGCTTCTTAGCAACAACTAAGGATGGCTCCCACATTGCACCCTTCAAACGGCAGCATGGCCGACGGGGAGTATGCTGGGCTGCGGCTGTAGAAACGACCACACGAGTGGTGTGCTGCTCCAATCATTTTGGTAACAGATCGAACGGCGCGTGCATGCGTGCGTGCAAGAGTCAAAGTCTGGAGGAGGTCTTTGAAATCGTCTCCTTGGCACACCACCAACCTTGCACATCTCAAACTTGGGGCCTGGGGAGCAACGATCTGGATCTTGTCAAGAGAGGTCACCTGCAGTCGTGTGTCGTTGCGACTGGGCTCTCCTCTTCCGCTTGAGCAGGCTCCAACACAACGGCAGGACCAAACCATCAGCTGTCTGATGCAAATATGCAATCAGATGCATGCACACATACACACACATCTGTTGCACCGTTCTTTCCTCGGGAAAACCGCGACATGAGGATTGTGCTCGACGCTGACCGAAAGCTACTGCTACATCGGTCAGCATGCAAACACAAGAACACTTGTAGAAGGCAAAAGGAAATTGATAAACCAGGTACTGACCAAAGAAAGCGTCGCGTGCATAGGTCGCCTGGGTATGTTCAGATTCTTGAACCCCCCAAAAGCAAGGCAGTTGCGTCGCAGGACGCCCTCGACGGCTCTATCCCGCAGCGACTGCAAGCAGTATTGAACAATTTTGGTAAGCAATGTGTGAAGCCCGAGCTTCACGATCAAATTACCGCTGTGTGGCTACAGTGTGCACAGGTCATGTGGCCTTTGCCACCTCCTGCGATACATCCTACACTCAAAGAACAGCAAGCTTTATGCTGTGGAAAGGCTCTTACTTCGGACCTTTTTGCTCCAAGCGCCGATTCCATTGAAGTGCTTCATTGACGGATCTGAACCAGTCTCTCGTGACCTCAGAGGGGCAGCTGAAGCCAAGGGCACCATAACCACGGGCACCGTCAAGAAACACACCTTGCGCCTGCAGTGGATTTTGAAAGCAAGCGGCGGAAGCCCGGCAAATGGTCGGCAGAGGATATGGTGAAACAGCAACCTCTATGGAGTCACCGCGCTTGAGCTCGATTCGGTCCTCCAAGCCATCGCCATTTTTCTTCAGTTTCCACCGGGCACTCACAGCAAGTGTGATCCCTGCCTTGCCATCAACAGCCACCATAACGCGGGAGCTCCGAGCACTTGGGGGAACTCGAACTTTCACAACCTCAACTCGACAGCGCTGACAACTGGAGAATATTATGGCGATTGTGCCAGAGTGGCATTGGCAGCGCATCCGTGCATAGTGTCTCCTAAACGTGTCGCCTGCTACACACACACACACACACACACACCTTGGACCTGCCACTCAGCAAGATGAACGTCCGCAGGGCTACAAGACTTGACATGGTGCAGTTGGCTGATGGTTTGACTCCGGGGCCACATGGCGGAAAAGTCGCGGTGTCGGGTTCAGCAGAAATCACGCTTGGCCCACTGATGAACCAAGAAACTAACTAGTATAGCCAGCAACACTCAAGAGTCCAAGCAAAGTGCTTCCCTGTCAGAAATCGAAACACCTGCTATGAAGACTGCCTGCCCCTGCACACGCGCGCGAAATTCGGCAGTAGCAGGCTGAGTGGGCGTGGCAGCAAAACTTGCTGCTTTCAATAACATTGGCTCTGCGACAGAGACGATACCGTCGTTTTCTGAGGTCCAGGCCGCGCTGTCCGGCAGAACTACTGGTCGGAAGGACAAGGAATGGGGACCTGCAGCGAGGCCAGTGAATTGTGCCCCGGCGGTGGTTGGCCAGCTGAGCACACGGCAGACTGGCGTCAGGATGATGCCAGGCACGGCCGGATGCATCATGGAGCCTCCTGCTGCCAAGGAGTAGGCAGTACTTCCGGTGGGCGTCGCCATGATCAGGCCATCCCCTTGCACCATCGTCACGCTCTTGTCGTTCACCTGCTAACGAAACGCTGGCTAGCGGCCAGGACTTTCCGTCTACATGCAGCATGAACACTCAGAGCTCGTCAATGACAAAGAGTTAAGATGCGGGCACACACATCCAGTTTCACCAGGTGTGGCGACGCTCCTCTATGCACTAGAACCTGCAACGCCGCTTCAAGGCAACACTTTGCTAAAGCAATCGCACGAATGTATCTCCTTGCCTCATTCATGGACTGAACTGGGATGGCCGGTGAATTTTCAGGGTCGTCCTGCCAGAAGCCACAAAGAGCCGGGATGCTCTGAACGCGGCTTCTATCCAATGTGGGTCCTCTTCGTGCCGGTACAGACGCATTTGGAAACGCATTCTGCAAACCAGCTGCAGTGGCGGGGCAACCTTAGAGTACACAAACGATCTTTGTTGAACCGAGGCCGATCAGTCAAAGGGCTGCCCGTTGATTGCTGGGGTGATCTGCTGCAGGAGCACCCAACTAGGAGTGGAGACTCGGCACTTCTCAAAAGGCACGTTATGTTCTACAGTTCTACCGTCTACATGCTGTGGGGCCAGGGGGGGACTGCGAGGATGATTCGATACGAAAGAGCCCCTGCTCTGAAACTTTCGAGACAAACTCAACTCTGCACCCATGCTTGTCTTAGAAATTCCTGTAAGGGAGCCTCGCTCTTCGTTCCCAGGATGGGCATCAGGACGCTCATCCAGTCCGAGAGTGGAAAGGGTGTCAAGAAACCCAGCGACCCGGCAGCGAATGCAATGATTGGTGGCATAGCACCGGAAAAAAGGCCGGAGGTCCAGCACAAAGTCCCGTCACCTCCCAGAGAAATCACCAAGTCAATGTGCTCCTCGAGCTTGTCTTGCTTGGGCGTCCAGGTGCGGCAACGCTGTGCAAAGCCGGGTGGAAGCCCCTCCGAGGTGCCCCACTGCCACTTCGGAGCGAAACTCATCTCTTCACGCTTCACTTTGCTGACGAGTCTTCGGCAGTCGCATGGGCCGGCACACCAACAAACTTTTCGTGGCGAGGGCTCCGGTTTCATTCCAGGGCTCCTGCCCTGCACCTCGTCCCAGAGTTCGGGCTCCAGCACAACGTGACAGCCTCCAAACAGCTTTTCGAAAGTTTCGCTGCTACTCTGCGAGCTTCTGCTCCCCTTGCCTTGAGAATCTATCCACGAGGCTATGTCTCTCAGCTTTCTTGTAACCTGAGGATCACCTGCCATCAAGAGAAGCAGCGCACTCCCAGGTCTCCTAAAGGGCCACCCTGGCTGCCTTGCTTTGCCACGAGCAGCACAGCTCTCGGCTTGCCATCCCAGCGCATCCACGTATATTGCTGCGTGGTGGTGCGTAGCTCCAGTCCCGCATGCATCCTGGAAAACGAGATGAGTGCGCACATGCTCACGACAAGATGTTGTCAGCCGTGACCTCATGAGTAGACTTGCCAGGCCTGTTCCGGGAAATCTCACCGTCGTCAGAGGAGCCACTCACTTGCTCCGGCATGCGATGCTCCAAGTCCCGCAGCTCGAAGTCCTGGCTCATTGACCTCCTTGACATTGAACCTGGAACTTCAGAAAACACCCAACTGGGGAATCCTCGCGAGGAAGGCACCCGTTGCTCCAAGGGCCCTGCCGTGAGGAGAGAACTGCTTTGATGACTTGCGCAGCTCCTCTTCTGCTTGTTTCGCATCTTTGACCTGACCGCATCGGGGCTTCTTGGGACCATGCGAAGTCTTAGGAGCAGACCCCGCCTTGCCACTCCAAATGTGCCAGCCCGTGACCTGGATGTCCTCCAACTGTGGGCCTGCACGGGCCCGACAGGATCAATTCGCACGTATGTCATGTGTCGCAGATGCGGCTTCCGCGATTTCATGAAGACCCAATGTGTCCCAACATCAGTTTCATAACAGCCACGCCTTTGAGCAGGTCATCGGTCGGCACCGGCTTCATCAGCGGGCTCAGGGCAGGGTCCACTTCCAGCAGGCTTTGTGCAGGCTCACTGGCAAGGATGCGGTCGGCAACGCTCAGAGCAATCTCCTCAATGGTCCTGCGGATGTTCCACCAATACACAAAGTGTCGTGTCAAGTCGCAGCATGTCTCCAGCCTGGAATCCGTTCCATTCGCCGATGCCAGCAGCTCCTGCAGCATTTCCTGACGGACCAGACGAATCCACGGATTTCACGGGCTGATAGGTTGGGGCACCTTGTTGGACTGTGCCAAGATATCCCGCCAGCGCTGCTGGGGTGACTCAAGGCTGAAGTTGAGATTCAGGGCAAGCGAGGGCAGCTCCGGATTGCCCTCGGCGATTCAAAAGTCCTTGCTGCTCTCACTCCAACTCGGGATCCCGCCTGCATCGCGCTACGACTGCACCTGAGCAGTTGAGCAGAGCCGCAGGGCCATGTCCAGAATGTTGTCAGGAGCATCCTGCCTGGTCAAGGGTCTCCGACGGCAGCCGCTCACATGAAGCGCCAATGGCTAGTTGCCCAGTCAAGCTTTACATGAACGGAATGCGTTCCATCGCATGGTGGCTTGTATGCATCGCACCTACACTGGCCGTGTAATAACATTTTCTGAACCCAGGTGTGCACTCACTTGAAAACTATGCTGTGCCCTTGCTGATGTCGGAGGAGGGGTGCACGGCAAAGCGATGGCCACTCTGTTCACTTTGCCGCGATAGAGCCACACGTCCGTGTGATCATCACGGGCAAGAAGTGATGTGTGTCAGACAGCCAATCAATGAACCTTCTTGAAATGCAGCCTGAACTTGAGGAAGAAGAAACAGAAACGCAGTGGGCAGCATCCGCGAAACAGTCCGTTTCCCAGAGATTGCACGAAAGTTATCGCTGAAGCTAAAAGACTTGCAAACCTCGCCGTGCACAGAACGGATATCGATCCATATCAGAAGCACCCTCCGAAGTGATGACTAGGTGGAGCGGTGTCAAGCATGAGATGCAGTTGCAATGCAGTGTCGCGCTTCGCCGCGCAGCGACATGCTCTCATAATTGCCGGAGGCATCACGATTCCGCCGCTGTAGTTGGCGGGCACACACTTTCCAGTCGTTGTAGCGACAGCGCAGATGTTGGCCCTTTTAGCTTCTGCACCCTCTTTTTGCTGCCGCTTCTGCGGCGCAGTTCACGAGTCTACCGTCTGAATTCGATTCAAGAGAGACAGATTGAACAGCTCAGAACACGAACGGAAGCCAGCGCCGCACAAGCCAACCGCCACAAAAGGCAAGTCTGCGCAAACTCTCGCAAGGGTTTGCACGGTCAACTGGCTGTTGAAAACCTCTCCTCACTCTAGCCGCAATTTGCGGACTATGCCTGCCTTGCAAGCTCGATAAGAGGCTCCGAAGCTGTGAAAAAGGCCGCTGCAAGAAGTCAATAACGATGCACGACGACACCGGCATATTGATCTACTCTGATACGGCCGCTAGTCGATGGGCGTTGCTGAATCCTGCAGTCAGGTCAGGAAAATTTCGGAGCCCTGTCAGAGGATAGGAGCTGCACCTCAGTGGCCAAACAGATGTCGAAGAACATGAACGAATCGATTGCGAGCTGCCAGCCATAGGCCCTGTATGGATCCGCTGCACTGCCAGGCTGGAAGAGGACAATGCCATCCTGAATCTAACTAAGCCGCTGAAACTATTCAGCTGGGCATGAGCTCAGCGACTGGCTTGCCAACAGGATCCAACAGGTCTTGGGCTCATGCGCACTGCAACCAATACTGTGTCGCTGCCGTGCGCCAAAGAACGCAAGCCTTCAGGTCGGCAGAGATAGCAGAGCCCAGGTCAAAACATGGAATTATCGAACACAGAAAAGCCGCTTAAGGTCACGACCGCATGAAGTGGCAAGCCTCCTGCCGCCCTCCGGCGGTCCTCGAGCCAGCTGCCAGCTCCAGATTGCAGGCTTCACTCTGCGTGGGCCGGAACTCCGGGCCCCCCACATTGTAAACCTGCGCGGCCTCCATGAGCTGTCGGTGCAACTGCTCCACTTCCACCTGCAAGGCGCGAGATGGAGCGGAGCTGGTCGGCGCTTCCGGTAAGCCGAGACCCTCACCTGCGTGCCATTTGTCCAGGCACCGTGAAGCAATCCAAACGAATCTGGTCTAGAAGTATCCAGGATTGCTGCCTTCGTGAAAGCAGGGCAGAAGACTTCTCAGAGAGTTGCCCGTGATGGGGCCAAGACAATCCGATGCAGGAACCGGATGATGCTTTCAACATCTCCGGTCACGCCCGCGCAGACCATTCGCCTCGGCATACTGATCTAGCTCTACTCTACAGCACGTAGGACACTGACTGGCTGACTGGCGGGGTTCCCGGAATGTCTTTGCAACTTTTTCTGGGACGCGACGAGCCCAGCTTTCGGCCGCCAAAGCGTCCAACAGACAACGGCGACCGCGGATGACAACGGCTCAGGCCGGCAGCATGTCCAATGCGCTGTCTCGATGGGGTGGAAGGTCGCCTTCGCGCTGCTCCGTGAGGGGCTCCGTGCCCTTTCAGTGCCCTTCGGCTGCAGCTATGACCTCAAATCTTGGCTGCTGCTTCTGCAGGAGGATGCCAGGCTTCATGGCCTGCTGCCACGTACAGATCCTTGGCCTGCATGAGTGCGTCAACTGCTCACCAGTCACCAGCAGGTTGTTCTCGCCGGAGCTTCCGCGACGATGAACTCTTCCAGCACCGTGCGCCTGTAGATCGAATTCAACATGGACACGTGATGACAGTCTCTGCTGTCTCTGGTGAACAGGACATAACCTACTCCTGTTGAGTCTGTTGAGGCTGAGGCATCATTCTTCTCTGAGGCCCATCAGCTGCTTCCACTGCCAGCAATCGGCCCAAAGACATGCCGTAAGAAGCCAGGTCTGTCTCATGATGAAGTGCGAGTTCATACAGCGCAGCAATGTCGCTTAGCTTCAGGTCCAGCCAGTTCCTGGGCCGTCAGGGCTAAAGGGGCGTGCTGCCAAGTGGGCCACACTGAGTGCAGTCAGCGCTCGAAAGGGTGACAGCTGGGTTCACCCAATGAAAGAACTTCAGTCTTTTCCAGTCGCCGAGCCAACCGCCACGACTGCTCACAAACTCGTTCAAATCGTCCAGCGCAGCCGACGTCACGTGCGGCATCTGCGGAGGGAAGGACACCTCAAGTCTCCCCTGTCCCCTGAAACCAAACCATCACTTCCCTAATACTTCCATGATCTTCCATGCACACCCACGCTCAAGAAACCTCGGGGCCGTGCCGATTGAGCAGTAAACTTCAGAAGCGCATTCAATCCACGCTGCTCCCTTTCATAGGGGTGCAGATGCAACCAGGAGAAATACCTCGCGAAGACTGGAGGCAAGCGCGCGAAAACAGCTCCTCACACTGCTAGAAGACCGGACCGGAGCCCGCCTCGTGTACCACTCCGCCGTGCGGGCGGAGGAACGGATGTAAAGGAAGCCTTGGGAGCGGAAGGGCTGCAAGCGAAAAAGGAGCAGAGCCGCGAGAGAAGGCTCAGGAAAGGGCCCATGTTCAAGCAGTCCGCATCCAAATGCCGGGCTACCAGTATGTCCAAGTGCTTGGCTTCTGCAAGTGTTTCCAAATGGTGCCGCGGGTCTTCAAAGAGAAACGTGTCAAAGTCGAAGGCGATCCTGCAGGCAGCAAACGGCACCACAACAGCTCATGCTTGAAGCGGGCTTCGGTAGAAAACCTGCTCGGCTGCCAAGCTTCGCATCTATGCCAAGCTGCAGCAGCACCTGCACCACACTGTGCCGTTGAAGTATTGAGCCGAGCTCCTGGTTTGAATCCGGAGCTTTGCTGGTCCTTGTGAGGACAAGCGTCTGCTTCTAACTTGCATCTACATGAGCCTGAATGCTATTATCACCGCGCCACCTTCCATCATTCACCAGCTACCAGCCAGCAAAAGCCAAACGAAACCCGTGCTGTCTTGACGAGCTGCGCAAAAGGATCCCAACAGCCAACCAAGCTGTTCCCCCAACCGCCATTGGCTTCAACGGCCACTTCACATGCTTCCCGACATGCCTGCCCCATGGCCACCACCAAAGTTGGTATGCGCAGTCTGTGCATCCACGCTACAAATGCTGGAATCAAGCGGGACCAACGCTGCCCCCACATGAAGGTGGTGAGGACAATCTTTCTCTTCGGCTGCTGCAGCTGGCATGCAGGGAGAGCATTTTCATTCCAAGAACAACCTCTCACTCTGCACCTGTCGTCTGAAATGCCGGAATAACCACACTCCCTGAGTTGGTGCCGTTGTGAAGCTCTGACAAGCTGCATGACAGTGTCGACAACTGTTCTGAAGATCGGTCGCATCTTTAAAGCCTGGCCTGCGTCCGCCATGCCGATCAGCCATTCTGCAGGGCTTGCTGCTGCGAGGATCTCCACCTGAGCCTGTGCCGTCTCATCAAATCCAAACGGCAGCAGTTCCTCGGGCAGCAAGCGTAAATCACCAAAGGCACGAAATCGCTTGGCCACAGGATGCGTGCCTCCCCATCTGTGCACTTCTCCATGAAATTGCCGACCCAGTGCACGGCTGTACTCAGGGCGCTGGAACATGGCGGACAGCATGCCCAGGACTGGATAAACTGGCCACTGGGATGCAGAGACCAAGTAGAAAGGTAAATCTTTCATAAGCTTCTCGACAGACTCTGCCCAACTCTGAACTCTGCCAGTCAACCTCATTGCTGCAGCGGCCATTTGCACCACGCAGAGAAAAAGAAAGCCCAAAGGACATTCATGTTGGGCTGCATCGGCGACTCTTTGAGGTTCCGCACCGAAAGCATCCATCACGGTCTTCAAGGAAAGCGTATGTTCCACTGATCCCTGCCCGGGCTCCAGTCCGAGCATTCCCTGATTGCAAAAGAGGGTGGCATGTTTCTGGAGTTGACCCCAGTCGATGCCTGATGCAGACTTGGCACTCTGGCCCTGGCAGACTAATACTGCAGAGGATCTTTGAGAAACCGGCCCATGAAAGCCGCTGAAGTGATGCAATGCTTCGTAGACAGGCCAGCGAGAGCCAGCAATCACCAGAATCGGAAAAGCCCGCAACATGGTCGACACGGTTTCACTGTGTCTTGTCTGCACCTCCCTATCGGCGTGCTTCACCATTAAAGCATAGGAGTAAACAATGGAAAGGTACAATGCACCGAGAGGGCACGCTTGCATGGCAGCTTCACTGCTTGCCCGGAAGTTGTACAAAATGTCACCAGGCACGAAAAAGTCAGGATCACCGGGTCCTGCATCTTCATGTCAGTTCACAAGGTACCGTCCCGAAAGACATCACATCGCAAGTACCGTCCTTGGAAGCCTTCCAGAACCGCCGCATGCACTTCATCCCAGTCCAATGGCACTTTTTCTTCCACGCAGTCCCAGTTGTGGAATCGTGGCAGGTCGCACCTTGGGCCAAGAAGCAAACACAGATCTTTGGGACAAGCATATGGACAAGCACCGTCTTTTCGATTGAGCTGCTTGATTGCTGGCACCAGCACAAGAAGCCATGCCATCCGCTTTGGGCCGGCCATTGTCATGCACTTTGTTCGTGGAGGCGCTGTGGGACATTGCAAACTTACACAAAGCTAACCTTGACTGGCACGAAAATGGGTGCCGCTGAGCCCCAAGCGACTACATCAATTTCGACAGCAGGAGCAAGACAGTCGCCAGTGCTGCTGAGAATGATTTCTTGCCGTCACTACACTCAGCTGGCAGCTGCGTGGGTAAGAGATGCCACCTGCACGGGTGCACCAGGGAACGCAGGCCTAAAGACAGACTCTTGCACTCAAGCTTGGCAGCTCACGGTGGCGATGCAGAAGGCTGCACCAAATTGCATGCGAAGCTTGCGTCCGCCACGTGGTCTGACGAGGGGGGGGACACACAGCGGAGCACTGCGGCGGAGTTCGAACTTGGGAAGCGGCTTTGGCCATCCCACACTGTCCAGGGCCCCCGTGAAAGGGTTGGGTGTCCCAGGTCCTGCCATGCCAACTCTCACCAAGCGCCGGCCTTGCTAGTGCAAAAGCCGTCGGAGTGGCCCCGCGAGCAAAAGCCCAAGCTCCACCATCTGCGTCATCCAAGACGGCCCACTCCAGTCGATCAGGACACCTGCTTAACAGTGACGGCGGACAGCACACGCCCTGCCCAGCAGTTGCGCAACTGAGAGCATGGCCACCGCAGCACACAACGTCCCAAGCGGTAGGCAGGCCGATTCTCGCAAAGGAAAGGCCTCAGTTATTCTGCTTTGAAAGGCATGCTTTGGGGAAAAGCTACGACGGTGGGCTGGGGATGCCACTCCAGACGATACACACCTGGGTTGCACAGGGGATTTGTCAAGCATCGCAAGCTTCCGAGTATGGAGGTGTGTCTGCTGCAGTTCTGATAATTTGGCCCAGCACCGCAAATGGCAGTGACACGAACAACGGCAGGCTCCTGGAATATCTTTCGAATAATGACGGGGCCGCAATCATGATGACGACGACTACCCAAGCGAAGCGACAACGACTGTGACGGCATCGACAGTGAGCGCCGGTGCTGGCGCAACTAAGTCTTGTAATTTTTGATTCACGTAACAGACACCGAATACATGTGTGCGGTGTTTGGTTGCTTGTGTGCTGATTCACGTCAGAATCTTGGACTCGTGGCAAAGTCGCTTTCTGTCCTTGCTACAGTCATGCGGCGGGTCAAAATGTGTCCGATGGATGGCCAAAGAGAGCGTCGGTAGTGCTTTAACTGCAACTATTCACAACGATATCGGGCTTTAGCGAAGGATCCAGCTCACGGGATTGGTCCGCGTCAATACATTTAGGACCAAAGGTTTGGCCTCGAAACAAAGAGAGAATGCTTTACGTAATCGGTACTATGCCACTATCTATGCCTTCTCGCGGGGTTTCATAGACCATTGAATCCGTGTCTCACTCGAAAAGCCTGGCCTGGGCCTGCAGCTGCTCGGAGCTCAAAGCGGCCCGGCAGTTCTCACAGGAGGTGCAGGACAGGCTTACTTCCAGCCTAAGCCACGACGAAGCCGGCAAAGGGCCGCGGAAGCTTTATTGGCTTAATGAATCGAGCTGCGGCCACGCTGTCGATGTCTTTGATGGATCATCGCAGAAGCACAAGCCCTGCCGCAGCAGCACCACGTCGAAGAGCTGGCCAACCTTCCGCGCGCGCACGTTTGAGACGACAGTGCTCCGTGCACGAGCACTCCCTCTACGGCCATGGCCTCACATTGGCCGTGGCTGTAGAGTTGTGAGCCAAAGTCCTGCCAGCAAGTCACCGACTCTAGGGAGGTATGCAAACTGCAAACCTCGCATGTCTGCATCAACACAAGCGGCACAGTCCTGTGTGTTGTCGAGGAATATGAAGCGGTGATCAAGGTACACTGGTAGCTGCCACGGCAATGCTTGCGGCCTGAGGGATGCTTGGAAAGCTGGAGTTGCGATGAAACTCTGAAAGGGCCAGCAAAGACCGGCCCAACATGTTGCCGAATGAAGCTATATTATGTGCCGTCCATGCGGATTCTGCCGCGGAAGCAAAACAGACCGAGAACATCCACATCATGATACCAACTGAGGCGGCAAAAGGTTTCGGCGCAAGGGCCCGAACTTGTGCTAACAGCTGACCCCTGTCTCTCAAACTCGATGATACCGATCGTGTAAGATGATGATCGTGTTGGTGATGGTGCAAGCCCTGTTTGCATTCCTGCAAAGCACAAACTCACGCTGTGCTGCATCCATGCTGTCTGCGGCTTCTGAGGCGGCAGCTGCCAAAACGGTGTCACAGGATTCCGCACATCTCCCCCATACACCCGGATCTGCGCATGACAGCACAAGAATGACGGAACATCGTGGGTGGAAGGACACGAACATGAACGCATGCACGCTGCCTTTGTCCTGTAGTCGGACCAGGCTCCAGCCGAGGAGGCAAAGGCATGCGCAAGCATGACCTGGGCGTAGCCGAGGCACACCCCAGGCCAGGGCATGATCGACTTGCACTTATAAGGCACTGACACTTGTTGGCACATATCTGGCCTTGCAGACAAGGGCAACAGAAGACCTCCTTCCGATGTGCTGACCGTCTTGCCTGCGCTTCTTGCAGCATGTCGTCAGCACAGCCATCAGCCGCCGAGAGAATCTTCAGGGACCCGCTCCAACCTTCCGTACCTGGCCGACCCGACGATGTAACGAATATTTGTCGAAAGCAACAAACACCTAGTTGAGGCCTGAAAGCACGTCGAAGATGTACTTGCACGTTGAATTGAGGATCTCTGCGCAATTTCCGAGGATTTCCTTGCTGTCCTCAGAAATCCGACAGCACCAGCAACAAGTGCTCGATGCCTTTTGGACATTTTCGGTCATGGGCCCGGGTGCATCCGAACTTACACCTTGACGGAGCGTCCTTGATGCTCCTCCAGCCCGGCAGCTCACGCTCTCCACGACCACAAACAGAGCCTGTGCCAAAGACAGCCCCAGCTTCTTTCGTAACGAGTCGCAAGGCCGGTAAGGAAGGCGCCTAGGGCGTAAGGTGTTGGGCAAACAGCACGGGGCATCCTCGACAAAAGCTGCAGAACAAGCCAAAACAGCAGCTGTCCACCTCGAAGTTGTCTGGCAAGTCACTGTCGCAAATCTGGCATCAGCCCGTCCGTTCGAGTTATTGGCATCTCTTGTTGGCGCACGTGTTGGGTATCCTCTGGACAATTCAAACTAAACATATCTAAACATGGTCACTCTGGGACAAAAGTGTCGAGACCAACCGGCACAGCCCGTCCTGAAACGTCCCGTATCTCTGGTCGAATCCATCATGGGTCCAGCCACTGCTTCCCAACTTCTGCAGATGGCTCTTGTCGGCATGCGGCGCGTGTTGGACATATTTGTCCACAGCGTGCGTAGAAAAACCGTTGTGCACGGAGCGACCGCTCCCAACCATTTCGGAGTTCTGCGTCCTGCAGCACGGCGGAATGGCAGAAACTTGCAAGAGACTCTCGCACTCTTCGTCGGCCTGCGTTCCTTAGCTTGACCCTTCGTCACGAACTTGGCAGGATCCACCTGACAGCGGTGTGCCTTCCAGGATTGGTTGTCGACTCTACAACGATCGCAGCCTTGGACCGCTGCACGGAGCTCGCCTGGGGCCTCAATTTCAGTTTAAGTTTGCGACAGGCGTGAAGAAAGCCGCTCCGCTCGAGGTCCGTGTGTGCCTGTACCCGGGCCCATCCGGGCCCGGCTCTGCTCGGAAGTAAACCATAACTTCTTAATCGACAAGAACTCAAACACATCAAGAATCCTAAAAGTCCTAGAGTCTGACCAACCGCATTGAGCACGCTTGGCTCAAACAACCTGAAGACCGCCACAGGTGTCGCCTTCGGACTTCGTTACGCTGCTGTACCCAGCAAGCTCATCCACCGGTGCAGCTTGGTCTCCGAACCCAACATACATCACTCAACTTCCTCTTTCCGTCGAGATGGTCTCGATGCCGAATCACTTTTGGGTTGGCCACTTCGATATCTGTCCATATGCTTCAATCAGACAACTCCCTGCTAGTTCAGTTTATGCTCAAGTGTACCCCACGGAAAAAGTTATCCTGGGACTCGAACGCTGCAATAACCCAGACATGTCACCTTTTTCCTGCAGCCAAGAGACGAGAGCGGACCACTGAACTCACATCCTCTTTCATGGAGCATCTCACGGCCAGAATATTGCCGGCCCTGACATGTCGCGACATGCCGTTGAAGCGTCTTCTGAACTCAGATGACAAGCGTGTAACTTGTAAATCCATCTGTATACGTGAGCTGCATTCATCAAGGATCCAGTGAGTGAGTCGATTGGGCGACTAGTGCGCCTGCTGCCCATCACGGTGAGTGAGGCTGCGTTCGGCATGTTGGGACTGCGCCCCGCATGCCTTGGTGCGCTCTCTGGGAACGTCTTCATCCTTCAAACAAGAAGCATTGCCTTCTCTCTCTGTCGGTCTCGATTTCTTGCTTGCTTGCCTGCCTACCTTCATGCGTGCGTCCTTGCTTGCTTGCTTGCCTGCCTCCCTTTCGTGTGTTGGGATGTGTTGGGCTGATTGGCAGTGTTTTCGCCCCTGGACAGCTCGCTTTGGGCTCGATTGGAAAGCGAGAGCGAGATACAAGTCCTAAGTTGCGAGGCAGTGCTTACAGCCTTACAGCCGCCTCTGTGCGAAAACTGAGTATGCGCGGACCGCTTCTACTACCGTCCGCAGCAACCTCGTATTACAAGCACCGCGCTCAGCGTCCTAATGAGCCTAGGCTTCTGAACAGGTGGAGTTTTATTGGCACTCACTGTACACCTATGTTCTCACACAACTGTTGGCAGAGCAAGCTGTACAAAAGAAGTCGCAGGGTAGGCGAAGTCGGGTGCAAAACACGACAGCAAGACGAGCACAGCCCACGCTAAGATGCGAACGTGCACAACCCGGAGACTAGCAAAAGATGTCCAGAATGGAGCACCATGGCTACACCCAAACCTGTTGAAGCTAGACCTCCCGTGAGCTCTCCGGGCTTCGCTTCACCCCTCAACTGCATGGTGCTCGGGCTGTACCGCTCCTGACAGGCGATGTCTTGTTGTTCTTTCGGGTTTCTGAGAGGTAGGGGTTTCAAGAACCCAGCTACCTCCATGCAGCTCAGAGTCCGGGCTTCTCGAAGGCTCGATCTCACCAAGACCAAAACAGGGACGGCAGATCTCGAAACGGTGAAACGAAACTGGATCTTCTATGTCCCTGCGAAAACCGAGTCCCTGTAAACGATCCCCCAATTCGAGCAGGATTTCCACCGAGCTAAGTTGGTTGAACGCCCAGACAAGAGAATGACAGCGAAATCAACTAGAGTTCACCTGTTTGCCCCGATGCTTGCCGTACATTCAAATAGTGAATCCAGCTACGAGTCCGTTGGTCGAAAAAAACGCACTCTGCCTGCCGGCTTGCTTGGGGCTTGGGACAAGAAGCCCCGGTGCCTATCCCTCTGTTTCTCTCTGTCGCTGTGTCTTTTTCTCTCGCTCAACATTCCCCAAAATGACAGGTGCTAAGCAGGGAACGCTTCGCGAGCGCGACTTCGTTGGTCCAGAACAACGACTGCCACAGCTGTGGCCATCCTGGAACCAATGCTTCAGACAAAAGGCATGCACACTTGTGCGCATTTGTGCACACTCTGGCTCCTGACAGGTGTTGGGCCGGCAGCCTCTGTCCTGGCGCTGCGGAAGCCTCAGTTCTGAAACTCGATCGGAAAATCGCAGCAGGCGCGCAGAGAAAGCCTTGTCTTTTCAAAAGGCGACCTGCTGCTCCAACATGGTGCAATCGCGGGACTGCTGCAGCTCCAATTGTCGCCGCAGCTCTTCGTGCTCGAGCTCCAGTGCCTTCTCGAAGTTGCTCAAGACTTGAGAGTTCATCACATGACCCTCAAGCATGTTAACATGGCCACTGTACGATATCCAAATCACGAAAGTCACAAGTTAGTCGGCCGGGTAGACTATAGATGCTGCTGCTATACAGGTGACGGGCAACCAGATGGCCTTCAACCGGAGCGCCGCAGAGTGCTGAGATGACCGCTGGTCTGTGTAGGCATTTCTGGCTCCTGCTGGCGCGTAAACCATCTTGATGGCAAGCTGGTTTTAGCAGGCGGCAGACACATACCTCCATCCCAACCAGCTGTGTGTGCCGAACATTTGTTGCATCCGTTGCCTCCCGCGAGGCGCTACAGAACCCAACCAACTATCAAACAGTTGCTGCAAGTATCCCTTGGTGCTTGGGCCCGCGCTGTTGGCTCGGCATCTTAAATGCGTTTGCCAACCAGCCAATCGGTGGGAATCACCTTCAAGACGACCCACAAGCATGCCAGGAAGAAGATTGGCACACACCGGCTTGGGCGAGCACGTGGACACTGGTTCCAAACAGAGTCAGCATTGTTGCACAACCTTCGCGTTTCTCACTCCGAACCAAAGACTTCACACCAAGCATGCTGTAGGCACAAACCTGCCATCAAGTCGGCTGACGTCAGCATCCACCTGCATGGTCGTCTTTTTAGGATAACAATGGAAGCGAAACCCACCTGCTCTGAACAACCATCGGCCTCCAAACTGCCCGGCATAGCGAAATGCCATGGCTGTTGCCTGAAATGGGGCGACTGTGCATGGAATGACTGCTGCTGCACATGATAAGCCAACGGTGTCAAGGTCTCCACATGCCCGGCTCGAGAGGAACACAACGAGGTGCCGGTAGCTGGGCTGTCCAAGCCTGCCGTTGAAACGAATCTGCCAGCACTATTGGCACCTGTCCAATGAGCAGAGATCCCTGCCTCAGCATTGTCCATACGAGGCCCGTGGTGGGACTTGCACTGACAAGCCTTGTTTGCTGCGCATGTTCATCACCCTTTGCCTCGACGCTTGCTTCGCGAGTGGCGTTTAACAATCGCACCTGCGGCGTCAACCCATTGGCATGGATGGTGCGCCAGCCACATGGCGGCTGCAACATACTATTCCGATTCAGCACACCGTGTTTTCTCTGGCCTAGCTTCATGCTAAAAGCGGTGCCCAATATAGTGTTGATGCAATGCGTCACTTCTGTGCTTTTGTTGCCCGGCTTATTGCATGCTGCGCACATCCCATACTTTCGTAATCCATAGACATGAACTTACCACGAAAACTAAAAGCAAGCTTGCCGCAGTGTGTTTGGTTCAGCTGCGTGCTCCCGGTGCCACTTGCATCATCGGAAAGTTACATGTCTACCCCAAGCTGTCGTGGCTGAGGCAATGCATGTAACGATGACAATGAACAGATCGAGGGTCTCATGAAAATTTAGCTCGGAAGGTTGTCTGTGGAGCCGGTGTGGAATTCCCTTTAAACACATCTGGAAGGTTGTGGCCCATCATCCCCTTGCCACAACCGACTTTACAATGTTGTGACGGAATCACAATCATCGGATCAGCATCCGGAAATGAGCATGACTCAGGAAGCGCCAGTGAGGCGTGCCCTTGAAAGGAAACTTGAAGCGTCACTTTCGCGCGTCTTTCAAAAGTTTCCTGATCCGAGCCGTCACAACAGAGGAGACGATGAGTACGAGGATCCGTGGCGTGGTCAACATGTATTCTTAAGAAACTCCCGCAGTCTGTCAGGGACCCCTCCATGTTTGAAGATGATGTACCCCATAATGCGCACTACTCACTCCTTGTGTGTACGAGTGGCATAAAAATAAGGCTGCTCCAACTTGCTCATATGGGTTGACGTTTGGTATTTCATGACACCCCAATGACGCAAATTGAATTGGGCCCTCTGTGGCACCGTAGTTTCGTAGACTCCATGAGTACGAGGGGTCATCATTTCTGTTGTGCCGGGTTTTTTCGTTCGGTCCACGAAACTCTCATGTGTCGGAGGATATCACGGACGCAGCTTTTTTCCAGCCCCCGAAAGCTTTTTTTGCACCCCTTGGCTTTTATTCCACCCCCCTAGAGCTTCTTTTCCGCCCCGGGCAACTTCTTTTCCACCCGGACAGCTTCTAGTCCACCCCGGACAGCTTCTAATCCACCCCAGCGGCTCCTCGTCCACCCCTGACAGCTTCTGTTCCATCCTTGGAACACTTGTACCTCCGTACCCCCGACAAACTTCTTTCTGGCCATCCGAGGCCCGATCTCGGCCCATGGACAATGGAGTATCACAGTACCTTATACTCGAGTCCTCGCCAGTTTGGGTTTACTGGGAAGAACCGTGGCTTTGTAAGTGTTTATATAGATTGCAAGCATGTTGTTAAATAGCTTGCAACCCGGTTGTATCTATATTGCAAATCACTTATAAGTGTGATAAACAAATACAACTGTTAAGACTTAGCTAAGTGTTTACATAAGTGGTGTAAGTATGTTAAACATTTACAAAGGTTAGGGGGTTTAGCTAAAGTTTAGCTAAGTTAACATAACTTTTTGAAGTACAGTTCTTATATAGGGAAATGACTATGTTAGGCACGTAAATGACTTGTGTTTCAAGGGTGCATGTATACAGGGGGGGGGCAGGGCGGACAATTAAATGCATATCCTGTTGCCATGCAGCCGTTTTTTTTCAAGAGAACTTGGAAAAGATGAAGCCTGCCTGGGCTACGGCCGTGGAGCAGGCATTGAAGAAAGATGCTCCGGCATTGGAGAGATGGACGGAGATCGAAACTATCCTGCAGGAGAGCAGGAAGTGCTACAGGCAGGTGCTGCGGCCGGGTCAAGTCCTGGTGCACCCGTCGAATCGCTCAGGGTTAGGATTGAATGGAGCCCAAGTTCACAAGACAGGGGCCCAAGTGCAATCTGTAGGCTTCAGCTCCATGGAGCTGAAGCGAAGTGTTTGCATGGAAATATCCACGGATAGAGCTCTGAGCCAAAAGGCCTTTAGTTTCAACAAGCGGCAAGTGGATATGAATGGAGGGCTGCTAGCTGAGGTGCGAGGCGATGAGCGATACATGTCGTTAGCATGCAGTCACTTTACGGCATTTTGCCGTGCCTGCATTGCAGCATGTCCCTCGGACCAAGAGACGGTGTCGGACAACGGCAAGCTCACGTTGCAGCGATTGTCTACGGACTTTCGGCAGGCCGTGGATAATGGATGGGAGTGGCTGGTGCTGTCAGCGGAAGTTGATGCAGTACTGCCCTCGCTGGCCTCCTTCGTTCAGGAAGTCATGAATGCAGCCCAAGGAGTTGCAAGAACGGCAGGCGAGCTGGAGCTCGCCATGGCGATGGTGACCCGAGCAAAGTTGCTGGCAGAGCAAGGTTTGTGCATCGACTGGGATATATGGGGCAAGCAAAAGATTGGGAGAGGAATTCATGTCCACGGTCGCCGGCCTCCGGTTTGCAGGGCAGGAGCGATCGCATGCTTTCGCAAGGGCTGCGATGATCGCGACGAACCTGACAGCCACAAAAGTGGTAGACGGTGTGGCTCGGCTGCTGAGCAAGAGCGATGTCAGCAGGCTCTGTGCGAAAGGCATGGAAGATGCTGTAAAGGATTGGGAGGAGCTTCTTGCTCGTGCCTGGGCTCACACTCAGAATGTGACGGATGCAAGTGCACGTGCCAAGGCAGTTGAGTGCTTCGGTCGCCTGATGGTTCGCAGCACCCTCTTCATGTGCAAGAAAGAGAAGTCGGGGCAAGAAGGCCTTGAGCACGGGTCATTGGCCAATTTGCTGACTTTGTACGAACACGAGATGGGTGGCAAGAGTGCCGGTGCAACACCGGCTGCTGCTACAAAAGATGGGCCGTCTGATGCGGCCCCTGCGACCTTGGAGAACATGCAGGACCCGGCCTTCCTGATGAAGCTGCAAGGCTTCGCAGAGGGGAACCTGTACAAAGGCAAGCAGAAGTATCAGGACATCTGGCCTTGGAAGCTGGAGAAAATCGGCCAGAGCCACGGCTCTTTCTCGCTGTCTTGCCCAGTGAGCTGGGACAAGAAGGTCGAGGTGCCTCTGAGCGAGCTCAAGAAATTTTTCGATCTGTATAGCGGAGATGCACCCGAAGTGGTGTCTGACTCTGTGGACCGACTGCCCCATAATACGGAGGCTTGCAGCCAAGAGAGACTCCGAGGAGAGTTCTTCGAGCTCTGCTGCGAGTATTTCCTGAAGTACTCGCACTGTGAAGAGGAGTTGACCTTTTTGAAGAATCCCACGTGCTGTCTGTTGGAGGGCAAAGCCAAGACAGGCAAGCTGACGATCTTCCCCTTCACGGATCAGATTTCAAAGGTTGGCTTAAAGCCGGCAGCTGGCAGTGTGGAGGTTTGGCATTCGGCCTCGGGCACAAGCTTGTATATTTCACCCCCGGCTGCAGCCGGAAGTTTGCTATCTGCCTTCTGGCAGATCCCGGTCGGCTCAGAGCCGAATCTGGCGACAGTCCTTCTGAACGAGAAGGGCTGGAAGATTCCCATTTTGAAGAACACTGCTTCGCTGAAGGAGTGCATCCTGTACAGGCCGAAGCCTGCCGAAAGTTTGAGGGCCTCGGCCCAAGAGCTGGATCAAGGATCCGCTGCCTCGCGAAAGCGAAAGGCTTCTTGAGTTACTCGACAGTTCTCGCTTGCTGAGTTTTCCGGGAAAAGGAGCCAAGGTTGATGTCTGCAATGGAACTTTTTGGCGCTTTTGCAAGTGTGAATTCAAGGATGGTTTGCAGGCACGTGTTGTTGATCTTTCCATAAAGTTCGGCTCAAGGCTAATATAGGTACAATGCCGCTGGTAATCGAAAGAGTATATGTCCTGAAGCTGGATGGTGCCAGCTGGACTGTGGGTGACAAGGAGCTAGAACCAACGGACCATGGTCCGTTTGTGGTACTTCGTCCATGGAGCCAGGGCTTGTGCAAGCTGCTTTCTAAGCAGCATAGCATAAAACTGCCAAAATACCCGGCAAAGTCATCGTTGTCCCAGAGCGATGTTTATCTATCGCTCGTGGGCTCCCGAAACGATGCCTCCAAGGAGCAGCAGTCCAAGCGGCAGGCAGAGAAACTAAAGAACAGAGCTCTGGCCTTTTCGGCGGGGAAGACAGCGAGGCTGCTCTAGTGTCTGTAACAGGCAGCTCTCCGAGAAAAGCAGCGAAGACTCGCTTGTCCCGCCGTGCTTCCAGGGAAGCAAGAGCAGAAAAGAATGTGCTGAAGGTTACCTGGATGGGAAAGGAGATCCGTGTCCTGGAGGCGGGCCATGTCACGGATGTGCCCAAAGTCCACTTGGATGATATGGCATTGTTCTTTGAAGCAACACAAAATGCCGTGCTTACTGCTGAGTCTTTTCAGACTAGAGCACGGCAAAGCTTTCCTAAGGGAACTGCTGCGAAGGACAAAGTCGTGAAAATCGGCCAAGGCCGCCAGGCTCAACGGACAGGCGACGACAGAAGGTATTCGCTTGTCAAAAAAGCCGGGGCCAAGGCCCGGCCCTTGGATCCCCTGCCGCTGCAGGAGGCTGAGGCGACTGCGGCTGCCAAAAGGGCAGCAAAAAGCCAGGGGCAGTCCTCCAAACGGAGGAAGCCTGGGGTGCTAGTGAACTGAAGGTTCGTTTGCTTCAGGAAAACCATGCAAAGCCTTGTTGTCTCATGTGCATGCAGTTGTTTGACTTGTAGCCTCGCATGTGCAGGTTGTGAAGTTTGTGCCGGTGTTTGCAGCTGTTTGGGCTCCTGTAGGGAGCCCTTGGATGGGGGCTGGCCTTTTTTACGAGGCCAGGCAAGGGATCCTTTTAAGTTTCTTTCAAACGAAACATATATACAGATATAGATATGTAACTATAGACTATAGGCAGCCCGGGAGACTGCGGTTTCCTGGACAAAGCCGGGAGACTACGGTCTCCTTATAATTGTGGTGGACCACGGTTTGCCATCTGTCTGTGAGAGGAGACCACGGTCTCCTGCAGAGCTGGCTAGCAGACTACGGTTTGCTTAGTCAGTGATGCATGCATGGGTTGCTTTTCGGCAACCGTGCTGGCCGGCAGAATGCAGGCAGACCAAGGTTTGTTTGCATCTGCTGGCAAGCATGCAAAGCAAGCAGACCACGGTTTGCTTTGCTTTGGGAGAGGAGACCACGGTTTCCTCGTGGGTGCATGCCACGGCATGCACCAAATACTATATGTATATATATATATATATACATGTGCTAAAAAGAGTCTGGCTTAAGGGATCTTCCCTAAACCCTATACCCTCCCCGATCCTCTATAAACCCTTTTTTTGTCCTGGCCAGGCGAAGTCGTCGGCCATGCCCAAGCACCGGGACCAGGATAGAAGGAGGAGGAGCTCGAGCTCAGAGGATAGAGAAGAACGACGAGATCCTCGACTACGGTCGAGATCTCACGAAGAGTCCGAGGACCAAAAGAAAAAGGAGGAGGATGGCAACAAAAAGCCAGAGGAGAACGAGAACAAGAAAGAGGAGGAGGAGAACTTTGAGGAGGAAACTGTGGCCTCCGAGGAGGCAACTGAGTCCGAGGACGAAGAAAAGGATCCGGAGGAGGAGCCGGAGGAGGCTACGGCCTCGAAGCCAAAGGAGGCGGCCTCGGAGGCTGCGGCCTCGAAGCCCAGAGTCCCTTCTCTGGATGAGAAGACTGCTGATTGGCCGATAAGTGCCGCCGGCAGGCAGAGGCTGGAGAGAAAGCTTGCAACAGCCAGGGTCGCGGCATCCCAGGCAGCTCTCCAGTCCTGGGCAGAAGAAGAGCAGGCCAGAAAGGAAAAGAAGGATAAAAAAAAGGGAAAGAAGGATAAAAAAGAGAAGAAGAAGGATGAAAAGAAAAGCGAACGAGAGAGATCAGAGAAAAAGGACAAGGAGGTGGATGAAAAATTGAAGGGGGCAAATGAGAAGGCAGCAGATGAGAAGAAGGACAACAAGCCTTCGGACGGGCCCAAGGGCCCGTCCAAAAAGTGCCCCATTTGCTGGAGGTGGATACAGGAGCATGCGGCCGCCCGTCGCCAGCACCGATTGTCGGTGTTTCACCGAACTTGGAAATACATAGCCCAAGGGCTCAGCAAGGAGGCTGCTGCAGGCCGGGCAAAGCGCCGGTTCCAGGAGCACTGGCAGCCCGGGAGGGAAGAGGAGAGCGAAGAGGAATCCGAAGTCCCAAAGTGGGAGCTGCGGCGGGATTCCGGCAACAAGGGCCATGGATATGGCGACAAGGGCCAGGGATATGGCGACAAGGGCCAGGGATATGGCTATGGTGATGTGAGAGGCGGCTCCGGCCCCTCGGGGGCCAAGGCCCATACCGAAGCTGAGAAGGGCCGTCCTGAGCAGGCTAAGGGCACGAAGAAGAGAAAAAAGCCGGGGGCAGGAGAGACAATCTCCCTGATTGAGCCCGAGGATGACAAAGAGGATCGAAAGCCGGTGAAGCTTTTGCCCAGGAGTTTGCCAGCTAAGGCTGGCAAGACCGGCCAGGACAAGAAGAAGGGCAGCAAGGCTAAGGGCAGCAAGGCTAAGGCCAAACGTAAGCGACAGGAGTCGCCGGTACGGGACGATGATCACGTCCCAATGCCGGACAAGAAGGACCCGGACGATCCGGAAGGAGGGTCTGGGAGCTCCTACGGGAAAGTGGTGACGCCTTTTCCAAATCGCCTGCCAGGAGCTTCGGCAGCGGTACTAGCTCGGCAGCCGCCTGCCGTCTTCCGAAAAACCAGAGTGCCGGCTGCCGTCTGGTGAAAAAAAGAGTGTCTCCGCGCTTTTTTCTCTTCTAGGGTTTAGGGTTTAGGGGTTTTTTTTAAGAATAATTTTCGGTTATCCTTAAGATTGGAACCTTATTCAAACGTAGAAAATATGATATAGTTTTTTCTATATCATATATATTGAAAGGAAACCATATGATATAGCATATTCTATATCATATGATGGCATCGCTTGCCATATGATATAGTTTCTACTATATCATATGAGTCTGTGGGGCCAGATATCATATGATATAGTTTTTTTCTATATCATATGTAATATTTTGGCCTCATATGATATAGTTTCTACTATATCATATGATTGACTTTGTTTTCATATGATATAGTTTTTTCCATATCATATTTTGAGGGTTTTGTGGGCCTGCCGAAATGTGTTCTCTGAGCAGCGGAAAGCAGGGCCCAAGCAGCCGTGCAGCATGCATACAGATGCCCAGAGTCGAGCACAGACAAGGTTTGGTGCAGTTGTGTTCGCAGACAGGCACCCCTTCCTGGGGCCATTTGTTGTGTCACCCGTCCTGTAGCTTGGTTTGTTGTTGCCATGGAGACCCAGCATCCAAGGATGCGAGAAGCCTCCACGGAGGCGTGTGGAAGCCTCCACGGAGGCGTGTGGGAGCCTCCACGGAGGCGTGTGGAAGCCTCCACGGAGGCGTGTATGTGGATGCTTGCTGCTGCAGGCACAGGGAGAAGAAGGAACTCTCCACGGAGATGTTCCGGCATTTGCTGTTGGTGCGGTGCCGTGGTGATATAGGGCCATGGCCTCCAGCAGCACCGATGCTCTTGCTGAAAGACCAGCGAAGCTTCAGAAGGTGAATGCTCTGAGAAGGAAATTGCCCCATCTCACAGCCTCGGCTTTGTCCGAAGTTTGCAAAGTTCTGCGGGACGAGGGTGTCCCGGAACTCACACAAAGAAAACATATAGCCGAGGCTGCCTGGCAACCCCTGAAAGAGAATAGGATCCTCAATCGTCTGTCACTTTTGCAGACAGATGGTGCAGAGCTGCAGATACCCAGTGTCGATTTTTTGGCTCTGCTGCAAGCTGCTATCTCGGATGCCGACAGCAACTTCGCCCAATATTTTTGGGCGTGCATCGACAAGAATCCTCCGAGCCCCAGCTCGGCATGGCGGCTGATCCTCTATACGGACGAGATCGTGCCGGGTAATCCTTTGGCAGTCCAGACGAAGAGAAAAATCTGGGCTTGCTATGCCTCGTTCGTAGAACTTGGAAGCTATGCATTGCAGCACGAGGAGTCGTGGCTATGCATAGGACTGCTCCGATCCAGCCTGATGGCCAAGGCCGAAGCAGGTGTCTCTCAATGGATCTCGAAAATCCTGCGAGACATATTCATGCGGCCGGCCAACCATTTGGAGCACGGGTGCATATCGTTGCAGCGACCAGGAGGTCCGCCCGTCCTCTTCCGGGTGGTTTTGTCAATGATCGTTCAAGACGGTGGTGCCCATAAAGCTCTATGGAGCTGCAAGGGGGATGCTGGCACCCGCATGTGCATGCTGTGCAGGAATGTAATAGCACAACGATGTGATATCCTGCACAGCAGCGGGCTCCCCGTGGTCGGTTCCTCTGAGATCCGAGAAAGTAAGCTTTCGCTTGCGACCGACCAATCCATCCACGAGGCCATGGCTAAACTGGCAGAGAAGAAGATGCTTCTGAATGCTGCAGATTTCAGCACGTGGCAGCAAGCCACCGGCTGGACTTATAATAGTTGTTCCCTGCTGCAACAAGAGGATCAACGATGGCTGGTCCGGCCGGTCTCACAGTATTGCCACGACAGCATGCACACCCTGCTGGTCTCCGGTGTCTTCCAGACAGTGACCTGGCTTGTTTTGGAAGCTTTGCAGAAGCAGTTTCCCAATCTCTGGGAAAT